CCATGAACACATCGAGGCAGTGAGTGGCTACAACCATGTCACTAGTGACGGCCAAAGTCCTAATCAAGTGGGAACCAATCTCCTCATGCAGGATCATGAAAGCAAGATTCAACTCAAAAGGTAGGAACGAAGGTCACAATTATCACGCGATGCTACGCACAGTGCTACAAACAACGCGGAACAAGAAAAGAAGCAGGATATTTACAGACAAACAACTACAAACAGTAATCGACAACATCCCAAACTGTGACATCAAAATCCTCATGGGCGATATGAATGACAGCAGGGCTGGGAGCACATAATACAGGAAGAGAACTCAACATCGGTCGAGAGGCTCTCGGAGAACGGAGCACTATTCGCAGACTTCTGCGCTTCCAATGACCTGGTAACCACAGGCAGCGTGTACAAACACAAGGATAAACACAAAGCAACACCGATTTCACCTGATCGACACACCACAAACCAGATAGACTTCACCTCAACATTCCTCAAGGAAGTACAGACGCAGCTACCTTGTTGGATACTAAGTCGAGAATGGGAGCAGATGTACACTCACTCACACCATCATCCAGTTCAAGCGACCTACAAGGTGAAGCTGAAAACTCCGAAAACAACTGGAGACAGACCACCACAATTCAAGTTCAACATTCAGAAACTGAAGGACAAAATCACAAGGGACACCTTCACTACACATCAGATCAGAGAAACGTCGGAGACACTACGTGGCATCACTGAGAGAGCCTGAGTGGAAGAACATTGGAACTAACTAACTCTCTGAAGGCGATATTCAAGGAAGCGTGTACAACTGTACTAGGAAGAAAGAGGAGACAAGACAAGGAATGGCTCTCTACGGACACCTACCTGCAAGCTAGTCGAGGAAAGGAGAGGAGAGGAGGATGGTGAAAGGGAAGATGACTCAATGCAAAGATGGACAACAGAAGAAGGAGAAGCTGAGTTCAATACATTGAACTGCACTGAGTAAAGAAGAAAAGGAGAGTGCTAGAAAAGACAAACGACAATTCTACAACACACTGGCTGGCAACTGAAGCAGAACAGGCAGTCCTAAAGCAAAGGAGACATCAGGACACTATATCAGATAACAAATTCTCTATCCGATCCGGGAACAGATCAACCCAGATGATGAAACCAATAAAAGATGCTCAAGCGAACCTGATCACCAAGGAGGAGAAACAATTCAAACAGTGGGCTGATCACTTTAAAGGACCCTTGAATCGACCACCACCGACAGCTCGCCCAGAAACACCACCACCAACAGCACACACGGTTTGGAAAGAAGGAAAGCTCCCCACCAATTGGCAGAGAGGATGCCTCATCAAACTGCCAAGGAAGAGTGACTTACGCCTCACTCTGCAGGAACTCAAGTGGAATCATGCCCTTGTCCACGCCAAGTAAAATACTAAGTCGCATCATCCTGGAGAGAATAAACGATGCACTGTATACAAAACTCCGCCCCGCCGACCAGAACAAGCTGTTATCACGAAAGGCAAATCCTGTGCTCTTCAAATTACAACTCTCTACATCGTTGTCATACAACAAAGAATCGAATGGCAGTCAAATCTCTACCTCAAATTGCTTCATCCACTTCGAAAAGCCATTCCACAGACGGCGTTGATCGACACGTAATTTGGAAACTACTTCGACACCACAGCGTGCAGTGTCTAAATCTTTATCAACCTCATTCAAGAACTAACTATATGAGAGTGACATGTGCCACAAAATCCACAACGGGAAACTCAGTGAGGCGTTCGAAGTGCATACAGGAGTAAGACAAGTCCGACTGCCTATTATCACCGATGATTTTCTTAGTTGTGGTCGACTGGATTATGCGTCAGACTGTGAGTTGGGAGTGAGAAGACAGGAATACGCTGGACGACTGAAGAACACTGAAGACTCTAGAAGATCAGGATTTCGCAAATGATATATGTCTAATATCACACAAACTCGAAGACTTACAGACTTACAGACGAACAAACTGATTGAAGGAGCAGCTGGCGAAGACAGGACTGCAGGTGAGCACACAGAAGACGGAGGTGATGAAGATAACCAACGAACCGCAACAACAACAACCAGCACCAATCACCATCATCGGGAGAGGTTACTTCCTTCACTTATCTGCCTAGGAAGGAAGCATCGTTTCAACTACAGGCGGATGGCACGGATGAAGATGTCAAAGCCAGTCAGAATCGGAAAGGCAAGATACGCCTTCATCAACCTGAGACCAGTTTGGAAATCTTCTGCACTAACTCAGCATAAAAAACAAGGTTCGCATTTTCAACACAAGCCATACGGGTCAGAATCCTGGCGAGCGAGTCACGAAAAGGATTTCCAACAGGCCACTGCAGACTTTCATCAACAGCTGCCCACTTCCCTGGCTCCATACTGAAGATCAAATGGCCAGTCGGCTGACCAGAAACAATTAGTAACAAGAAACTCTGGCTGGGAACAAACCAACCAAGAACCGATCACTCAACAAATATGTAGGAGTAAATGGAGATGAATCGGGCATGCGTGGAGACTGAGGAGACTGTCGAATGACATTGTGCGCAATGCAGGCCATTGGTCGAGTGGAATCTAAATTGGAAGCGACGAATGGGTCGTCCTACGGTGACGTGGAGGAAATTGAATGAGGAAGAGATGAGAGCGTTTGGCCAATCGTGTACTCAGATGAAGAGGACGGCAGAAAGCAGAACAAAGTGGAGATGTGTTGTTGAAGCCCTATGTTCCACCTGGAACACTTTTATGATTTGTACTCAAGCTCTGAATAGAATAATAACAGTTACACTTGTCGTACATACAGTGTTATCGTATTTAGTTTTAAGGTTCATGATATTACTATCTCAACGCATGAAGAAATAAATGTTGTTATATTCCTATAGGTGTACTAATAAGAGAACTGAGGCCATTTGAATTCCATTCTTTATTCAGTGTAATGTGAGATGCTTAAGAAGGAAAGTTTTCTTGAAATTCATCATATATTTTATCAGAGATGAAATGCTATCACAAAACACCATATTTACTGATTGAAACGTGGAAGTCCATTTTGAAAATTATTAAAAATAATGATAGTAGGAAATGCTATTAAAATTAAAATGTTTGTGATTATAATTATAGTTAAATGTCAAGTGGTAAAACAATTAATGTCATATATAGAATAATTCATAGGATGGATAGAACTTGGAAAGTGTGTGCAATTGTACGATAAGTAGACAAATCGAATAAAATAAAAACGTTACGTAATATTGTGTGAAATTCGATAGCATAGAACTTAACGTTGTAAAAAAGAATTGATTTAGAATGGCAAGTGTAACAAGTGAAATAATACCGGGGACAGTTCAACGTGAGAATAGTAATAGTAAGAATTGACTTAATAAAGGAAGAGTATGCGAAGTGAATAGACAAAATGAAAAAAATTGGTAGAGTCTAAGTATGACAAGGGATTAACATATTTAATGTCAGCAAAAAGTTTCAGCATTGTGGAATAGATCAAATAAAGTATAATTACATTTCAATAGCTTACACATAGTGATAAGTTTTGTTCTTGGTAATATTTCGAGCAAAACTACTGCCCGTGTTCACACCACTGTTGGAACTGTTCTGTTATTTAATTCACACATTCATGATTTGTACTCATATATACATAGTTCATTTTTTTGTTCATTCATTTTTGTGTATTCAGAATTATATTCCGAGTTGTTGACAATTGTGCTGAGTCACCCTTGTTACATGTATTTGGTTTGACCTTAATGAATATAGGTTCTTTTATAAGTTCCTAAGATAGTCTGCAAGGAGAGAAACGTCTATCTTCCGAGAAATTTAAGTTTAAAATAGTGTATGCATATCGTCTCATCACAATGCCGATGACTAAACTAAGGGCTCTAACAGCTCTACCAAGTGGAAGTGCTTAAGCATCATAATAAACTGCAGCATACCTAAACACTTCCTGAGGCATTGAGTATTTTTGCTGTCTGGATACTTCGACATAAGCAAACTAATCTTAACCCTAATCGCTATTTGATCCTGAAAGTTTTCACAACTGATTCTTTCCAAAATTCATTCATTGGTCCTAGTAATTTCCATGTATACTGTTCAGATGGTTGATCTCGTCCAAGTTTAAAATGGAGTTGGTTGCAAATATAACTGGAGGCAGGAAGGTAGTAAATTAAGGCATGGCTTTTACGCATGTGTGTGTAGACGGAGATTAACAGGTAACCACACTACAATCGGCAGTACTATATAATGCAACCACAAAATAAAGACATACATCGAAGATTGTTCGGGATCATGTGACAATAATTACGAAATTTTCAGCATCCGAAATATCTGTAATCTATGTACATACACTTATGTGGCATACTTGGAAGTAGGTGCTCCCGGGTTTACTGAATAAATACACACCCTTTTTGTCTCTGGATATCTTTATTGTTAAGCGAGGAATTCGAAGAAATCAACTCAGTTGTTGTAGAAAATAAGTGTCTAACATTTGATAATTGAGTCTCAGTGAGAGTCTGTGACACATGGGCAACAAAAGTTTAGCAGTCATGCTGTCTGTCACACATATTTTCGTCCCCACCAGGTTGGAACTCCCTAGAGGACATAGCAAAAGCCAAGAAGTAATCATATTGCTGTTGAGTACGGGTTCTCACACCGAGTCATAAACTCTTGGAACCGACTCCCAGAATAAATGGTGTCTGCAACCTCAAATGATTCATTTAAGAAGGGTTTGGACAACCAAAAAAATTTACTAGAGAAGGATTAACATTGGCTCCAAGCCTTCTTTCCTGAACCAATAAATCTGAAATGTGAATCTTGTAATTATGTGCATGATACATTGATTATTTTCAGTTCACATTCAGACTGTCACAAAACATTTGTGCAAGACAGAAAGTTAGATGCTGAAATTTATCATATAATACACCCATAGTCTTTTAATAGATAGGACTATTAAATTACTATTACATCAGGTAATTGGACAAACTGCGATTTGCAGCGCCAAAGATGACCTTCGGGAACCCTGTAACTTGAGAGATGGCAATCCCTATTGAGGGGACAGCATTACAGACAATGAATCCACCCATATTGTCTTGGGAGAGAATTTAGAATATTATGCCAGGAGATATCGGACGCATTCCTATTATCTCCCTTAGTGGATGTAAATACTTGACCGATATTATAAATGAGCTTCCTATTCCCAAATCAACTAATTTGCCTATAAGATGCCATACTCTCTTAAATGACCAGAAGGTTGCCCAAGAAGCTTACAGGTGTATTAACTGTAAGAACGAGGCACTCGTTGATGCACTTATAAAGGGCCTGGGCAGTGTAAATAATGATGTGTAAGTTAACCAGTCTTTTAGTTATTTTCCTAGACAATTTAAAGATAAGTCCATTGACCGGGCTGTTGACCCTCTTACATCCCCCTTACTTCTGCGAGCAGTATTAGACAAGAATTCAGATGTTTTTTCTGGCCAGACAAATCGAAATGGTCCCTCTCAACCTGAAGGTTTGATAATGTTTCTTGATATATTATCCTCTTCAGATCCCTTAAGCAGTATTCGTCTGGTATCCAGCGAATTTTCTGGTGATGGAGTTAAGTCAAATGAGAAACCGAAGCTTAAAAAGAGTAAGAGTGAAGGCATTACGTACAACGCAGTTCGTGTTGCCCCGCTTAAAATTTCTATCAAGAAAACTAGTACGGTGAAAACAAACAAGAGTAAAAGACGAAGTAAATCGTCAAAGGATGTTCCACCTATTTCTGACGTAAGCAACGTATGCACTTTTAAAGGTTTACATAATATATTTGGTTCTTTAAATCTAATCTGGTCGCATGTTATTTTTGGGTATTTACTGCTTCACTACTCTGCCATAATTGATTCATAGCATCTTTTGTCAAATGCCTCACCGATTTATCAATCGTAGCAGTTTCTTATGAAACAGGATGTTTTAGTGTATTTTGAGAGACTTCCCTTTTCACGCAGTGAGAATTTCATTTATAGGTAAAACAGATTTTAACTCCTTGGTGGTAAACCTTGGCGAAAACTACTCTTGTGACTCCGAATATATTCACTTGTCTCCGCTGGAGATACCAGGATTTTGGTGATTTCACATTTACTGCTTTGTTACATGTTTGCTGAAATTTGTACAGAAATGTACCATTTCAAGCTGTCTGATTTAAAGAAACAAATCAAGCGATTGAAAACAGGATGGGGCTAGAATAAGTACCGTGAATGGTGGAATGAATGATTAGATGGAGATAACAAGGGTTGATTGGTGGGATGATTCCAGAGGTGTTAAAGGACGGTGGTGACAAACTGTTATTTGAGTTAACTAAGGTATTACATGATATCTGGGAATCAGAGGTAGACTAGTGCGAATCACTCATTATCTCAGCTATAAGAAGGAAAGCCCTACTGTGGTTAAGCTTGACTCGTCGTCTCTGAGGTTCTAGACTAAATAAGCACTCACAGATTAAGTGGTGCTCGGGCAAAAAAACCCGAGAGAACCAGGCGAGGAAGACTTTATTGATTGTCTCTTCACCCTTCGATAGATTCTGGAATACAAGCTAACTGACCGTCCAACATTTGCCATTTTTCTTGACCTGAAGGCGAAATTTGACTCCGTCGACCAAGAGGTTCAACAGCAACTTTTAGCCATGAAGTTTTTAGAAAGTACATCTCACTAATCAAAGCACTGTACTCGAACTCATGCAGCCGTATAATAGCCTACTGAGTATTGTCTTATGAAATAATTACAACCAGTGGTATCAGTCAGGAATGCCCGCCACCATTCCCATTTATGTCTAATTTCATCGTGGATGTACTAATGAAATTAACGCTAACTTTAATGACTTAGGGATTGACTTGTTACCAGGGTGTAATTCCGTTGATTTAGAATATGCGGGTGATATAGTCCTTCTAGGTAAAGACACTGACAAATTGGAGTCTTCTGAACAACTTGAGCAGCAATCTTCGAATGTTTGGCATACCATTCGCTCCCTTCAAATGCGAGGTGTTTCTGTAGGACTAAAGTGCACCATCTCATGGCTTAAATATAGAGTGAAATGGTTAATTGTGTTAACCACTTCAACATATGTAAGGTCAGACCTCCCACATCTGCTTATAGTAGCTGTCTTACGCCGTAAATTAGGACAGACTCTTTGTTACATATTCAAATATTTCAGTTACACCTTTATGTCAAACGTAATCAAATTCTTGAGTGTGCTGTATAGAGGACTTTTGCCTGCATCTTCACTTAGAATAACTATATCGTTTACATTCCAAGTTACCAAAACCTTCTTATAGTTGCAAGTCAGTTCCTGAAACTTACAAATCAGGTAGTCATAATAAACTCAAATTTCGAAGTCATGTGATTATAATAGATATGATTATGAACAATAAATTTTGTTCGAAACATCATCCAGTAAATAATACTGTTTCACTATATGATATATCTAATAAACAAACTAATATGGAATTACAAGTAGTCTTAAGTATGATGGCACGACATACCTCACGTATACCACTGGTCTTTTTCTCTTCAGATATCTCCCTCAAAGTTCTTACATGTTTGTATGATTTTGAGTGGTGTATATTGATTGGCATAACATAATTTCTTGGGACTCCGTATGAAGAAAAAGTTCGGGAGTAGAAGTTATTGAAATCCTAGTAAGCTGCAGAGATTGGTTGACGAAGAACTTTGTGTTGATAGCATCATGTGAGCAGTCGTTAGTTAGCGGTTGCTTACACCGTGCATGTTGATGTATGCTTGAAACACCTTAAAGAGATAAAAGATTGATTCACGTTATCATAAATGTCCTGTTTGCGGGCAATTGGATTTAGAAGATTTTTCCCAAATGAATAACGTAATCGTGGTTACGTATTACTATAGAGCAAGTCGAAATGTACAACTTCCAGGGGTCTTTTCCACCCGTCTTCCTCTTAACCTGCAGACCTCATTTCTGGCTAGTTAATCCCCCAGGTAAATCAAACTGTTGCTGCACTCCTATCCGCTAGCAGTATCGCTTCACCTTATAACCGTTCCCATAGTTTAAGAATGATAATTAATTTCAGTCTGATTTCTATCCACCAGACTTCTCTAGAATGATGGGACTTGCAAGAGTATTTGTTTCAGTCATTATAGCTTTTGGCACTATTGCAATATACAAGCCCGGCCTCCACCACTTCGATGTAGAAGTTACTGTTATGGACTTCAATTTAAGCAATCAAAAAGATACCTCCATAATTTTTCGTTGCATAACTAAATGCCACTCAATATCTCACGCCTAAGTATATGAAGGCACTTCACTTTTTATGCAGTTTCGTAGCAGGCACTATTGTTAACACAGTTTTCTGTTTGCTTCCCTACTTGTTTTACTGGAAATTCTGTTTGATTCTTTTCAGGAAAGTTCTTCGGGAAAAACAGAAACATCCTTTGTGCAAATAGCTTCTAAAGTCAGCAGCTCTCATGATCTTTGTGATGAATTATCAAAGCAAACATTAACTGATACTATGAGCTTAAAAAAGAAGTCTCCTCATCCTAGCGACCCACAGGTATCTGGAGATGTTCCTGCAGCTTTTGAGAACTCGCCGAAATTCCCTTCAGCGACTTCAGTTTCTCTGGAATCCACACTGAATCCTGTGATTAATCAAGTCCAATCTGAACCATCAGCATCATCAAATAATTCAAATGATGGCACCTCAAAAGTGAATACCAGTGAGACAGTTCATATGTCTCCTTCTCCTTGTAAAACTAATCAACTAAACGATGAGCACCCGACTTCCCCTAAGACAGGTGATCATGGTTCTGTGGCGTTGGCTTGTGATACTAATCCAGTCCAAACTCGGCGGATACCTGATCCAGCTCTGTCTCAAATATTCCATTCAGTTGCTCTCTTTCACCCCTATCAGCCTACATGTGAACCAGACAAGGGAGTAGATAGCCAAGGTGGTGGTCTCTTTGATGACTGGGTCGACACACCAAAACTTGCTGAATCCCCTTCTATTCCTGCTCTCACAATACCAAACAAATGTTCTTCCTCCGGATGTTTCTCTGTGACTCCTTCCGTTTCATCTGCATCAACAGGGGTAAAAGAAATGTTATCTGTAGGTGCTAGTAATGAATTAGCGACAGGTCTTTCTCGCAGTCCTCAGTCTGTGCTTTCAAACTGCTCATATCCAACCACGCCCGGTGGAAATATTATGGCGTCATTTCACAGTACTACCTCTGTTACAAGTGTACCGGCATTATCAACTGCTTCATCTCTTTCTCTTTGTAAAGGTGGTTATTCACAAGTTACGACACCGTCATCAACTAGGCTATTTGATACAGTGGATGAGACTTTGACAACAAACTTAACTACTTGTAATGCTTTAGATGAACAAGTGAATAGTACTCCTCATGGCCTTGCTGCATATTTACCACGTTGTAATAACCAGCGATCAACACAGGCATCTGTCTTTACGAATGAGGATGCGCCTGTGACTTCCGCCAATTCAGTGTCCCCCAGATCAGCACTCTCTCCAAGTGCTGAATGTACTGATCTTAGTTCTGTCAGTCCTCTAGAAGTACGTACTCCAGGTTCGTCAAAAATGGCTGGTTCTGTGATTAGTGATCAAGTGACTTCGTGTTCAAAACCAAAACCGAATATTCGTGGTCGATTTTCGGCTGGAAAGCCCAGAGGAGGAGGTAAAATATTTTTTATATGTTATGCATACTGTTTACGTTTAATTTCCATTATTGTCACTCACTTTAACGTAGTGTACGCTTTTGCTTTATTTAAAGTTGTGCATATTTATAAAATCCGTGATTTCTTTGGTGTTTATTTAATTAGTCTCTGCTAATGCATTCGTCAATTATAGCCTATATACTGATCTACTTAAGATCCATTCTTTTAAGCTTTGAACACTGTTCAGGTTGACCGAGGTCACTGAATTTGAAAGATCAAGATAACACAAGAATGAGTCAATAGTTTTCTCTAAAGGAAGGCTTATAATCAAACATCGTCGTACCGTAACTGAAGAACGACTCTAACGAAGTATTTTCAAATCATTATTCTTCACTTAATATTGCTTCCGATAATCTCCATTGATTTTTATTCTCATTCAATCCATAATAATGTCTCTACCCGTTATCACATGGTCGTCTAAACTCCATTGAGTCAGGATTTTCCAAACAGACACTGACCTATGATGTGGGGGTTGTGATATCGTATCATCTGTTCATAGATAAAGCGCTTGAATCTGTTGGAATACAATATGCTAGAACTTAACTCTTGGTTTGATATAAGTGTAACTTGAGAATGATTGAATCCAGAAATGTAAAATAATTGTTTTTTCTAAATTACAGGTCGTCGTAGGAGAACTGAACTGGAAGAACTAAAGAGATGGAGTGTCATAGATCATGCAAATCCTGGTTCGGAATCAAAAATTTCTGATCTCTGTGAAGTTCGTGATTCACCCCGGAATTCTGCAGTTAGTCGGGATCAAACATCACTAATTGCATCGGAACCTACAGTACAACCTGTTACCTCAAAAGAAGACACTTCACAACTGAATTCGCTGGATGTGTGCAATCAGTATGGTGGATTTACAGAAGCTCTAGTAGAACGTGTAAAGCGAAGAAGGCAACAGCGGGAAATGAAGCTGAAATGCTGTAAAGTATCTCCATACAAGGAAACACTTCGAAGCTCTTGTGAAGTTTCTCCCCTATCTACTCCATCCCCAGGACAAAACAGAATTAAAGCGATGTCGCATCCTAGAAAGCATAAGTCTGCCAGCTTTTCGAGACGAGAAAGCAGGAAAGGAAACCAACGTACTGCATATAAAACGGAACTTGAAAGTCATGAAAAAGAAGTCTGCATTGACATTGGAACAAGCAACAGCAATAAGCAAATTCACTTAACTGATAGCGATTGCTCTTCATCTCCTGCAAGTACAGTTTTATCCTCTGCCCGATCTCACTCACCGTATATGAGCAGTTTACCACCTATTGACAGTGTGCAACCTAGTCCTCCTGTACTATCATATCAGAAAATCGACTCACCAAACAACTGTCGCTCACACGAATTATTAGTATATGAGCGTCCCTCAGAATCCATTGTTCAAATATGTGACATGAAAAATCCAAACTTGGAGTCTGTTCCCAAACTTAGTGTTACATTGGAAGGCAATGAACCAACATTTCATTTAGATAACCAGAACTCTGACTTCTCAGATGCAAAGCGAAATCATGCTAAACCACAATGGAAGGATACGAAGTGGTCTACGGGGAATAACTATGGAGAATCAGCCAGTGTACAGGTATATATATATATATATATATATAATTTTTAGCTATTGTTAGTTGTTGTATTCCACCTCAGTTGAACTAATATCGGAGTAGCCTAATGTTCACTGTTCATTAAAATAAATCATGGCATTGATTCCCTTAGCTGTTAAATTTTAGTTCCCGCTGTGGCAAGTATTATTATCACAGATGGGACGTTAAAGGTCCTCCTTTACTGTGACTACTTCCCACCAGTCTTTCGACCTTATTAATTATTATGATATTATAAGTGTTTCGGAGCAAGTTTCATTCTTTCATTTAGTTTTGTTAGTTCACTTCACAAACACATTATTAGCATATGCTTTGCAATAAGATTAACTTGTCGTTTACATATTCTGTTTCTGGACTAAAAGTTCACTCACATTCTCATATAATCTTCCCAAACAACTACTTATTTAGATAGAATGATATAAGTTATACTTGAGATGAAGTGAACTGTTTATCATGTTACTATTCTTCCTAACTTGATCTCACTTATTGTCAACGTCATGTTTACTATTTATACTGCACATCCAGTTAACATTGAATATGATGTATTTTGTTAGACATTGTTTCCTCTATCCTGGCTGATTGTTAAAAGTAAGTTCGCACAAAAGTACATTAGTTTAAGTTGTCACACATTGTAAAGCAGACATAATAAGGTAACAGAAAGAGGATAATACTACGATAGGTATGCAAGGTTGATGGAAGGAACAATTAAATGCAGAATAATGAAACCTTACAGGATCGGTAATATACCACAAAGCAAGTACAACTTCTCCATTGTGAACTGTTTGGAACCATGTTACCCCTGGAACCCTACTTGGCATTCCTAACAAGGCAAGAATAAAAGTGGCATTCAAACTCAGATTCACTTTAGAGTAAATTGTTGATTAAAGTATCCTATGCAGGTCATTTGACAAAATAATTTAGCTTATCTAATACCTTGCAATCATTATGAGGTCAGAGTAGTAAATGAGGACCAGTGAAATCAGTGGAGCACAGAAACGCAGGAAATTCTAGACTAGTATACCCCAATAATATTTAAAAAATCTAGAAAGTACCTCAGCCACAGTATTACATGTAGTTAGACAACGATGCAGTAGGATGTGGCAAGGCGACAGTCTTAAAATCTAATGCAATAGGTTAAAGGGAGAAATTGATAAATGAAGATTTATTTATCGAATCAACTGAGAATGATTCAACCAACACCTATCCCCGCACATCTGGGAAATTCTCCTACTCCTACGACAAATGGGAATGAAGAAAGAGAACTATTAAAATCAAGTTTCGAGATTGTACAGTTACAACTGGTATGGTTATGAAAAGTAAATTGCATTCGAAACATCGTCCAGTGTATAATCGTTTTTCACTGTGTGATATACCGAATAAATAAATATGGAATTACATCTTACTACAGTATCCAGGTTTTACACATGTTAACGTAGTGTCATAACTTAAAATATATATAAAGGCTTCGATCATCTCCAGTGGCTAACTATTCAAGAAGTGCTGAAAAACAAACTGTTGATACCGATGACGAATTGGCACTGTAAGACATTATCATCCGCATATTGTTGGTTAGAAATTGCCCTTACTACAGATCTGCGATAGTGTATAATGTGACAGAAACTGCTTCCCCAATTTCATCGATGTTAATTTAATTATGAAAGATAATCGTACAAAGAAGAGACGGGTTAAATGGCTAACCGGAGTGAATATTTCTGATAGAGATTTCGTCATTTTGCCTCTTATTGCAATTATTTCCACTTTTTGGTATTTTAAATAATTCCATATCCTCCAGTTGTCTTCATTCTATTCTATTCTATGTGCGTCGGTGGCACAGCAGTTAGGACTCTCGCTGACCGTGCACATGGTCTGAGGTTCGATCCCCTGCCGACGCACACCAGATATCTATGGTCGGCCTGCAAAATTTGGGCTACCGATATCCATGCTGAAAATTCCATACTTGTACTAAAAATACGGTGTAGAATCAAGCTGTAATAAAAAAATTTGTTTTTACATAAATAAATATTGTCTAACAGTTCATAATTTAAAACAAATGTCAATATACCTATCCCACTGGACAGCTCAACACTTATTGTAAGTTTCAAACGTTAGAAATTATTTCTTAACCATCTAAACTTCCAATTATTCGGTTCTTTGAAAATGTCATTTCTCTCTGAGTTCATTTATATTTCATGGCTTGTTTTGTAGAGCCGTTATATATTAGATTAAAAAATTACCTTTTAATCAACAGGTCACCAACCCTATTTCGGCTCTACCTATTGAGGTCTTACCAGTCACAAACATGTAATAGACTTATTTAGTGCATGTGTGTGGTTATTTAAGTTTGTCTTTATTTATATTGAGATCTGCTCTGATTACTTACTGTTACTTCTCAGTCTGCATATTATCTTCCTATTTTTGTGGATTTTTTTTATTAGTCTTTCAGATCTCATTCAACTAAAGAATCTTTTGGGCAATCGAGGGATTCATCTCCACACCCACCACCTCTTTTACCTTTAAATCGTCATTCTCCCAGTTTATTTCATAAACCATTGTCTGTAGACGTATCGGGTGATAAATCTCAAGAAAATATTGGTGAGTTACTTGACAGTTGCAATTTTGCTAAAATTTTGTTGAGTAATAACAGTTAAATGAATACATCGGAACTTTTCTTGCATAATATATGTACAAAAATGTATATGTATCAATACAAAACACTATGGGAACACCAGAGTAAATTAGAGTGAAATAACGTTAGAAGTATGCTTAATAGGCAGGTTTATAATCATATTACTTCAGTTAAACTTTATCAAGTATGGAACATCCTTAACTTTTCAATAAAAACTAGGGTAAAAGGTATCTTTTTGACTTCTTGTAAGCATAATTGTTTGTTCACATTTCAGGTGTAACATCCGATAATGATGATGGGAAATGCTGTATAGAGGCCTACAGTCCATGCCAAGCACTTGATAAATGCATTCTATCTGTTTTTATTGTTTCTACCATTTATCATAATAATAAATCAAGATAATCTATTAGAAATTAGTCTTCTACACCTTCTGTTCAAGTTGTTCATTTCGTTCACGTTGGTTCTGTTCATTTTATCTTTAACCTTTGAGTCGCAGTTTGCTTTAACTCCAAAATAAAATCTTATCCATAATGGAGTTATACTCTACCACATTGCCCAAGTCTTATACTTCTAGCAGTTTGCTTTAATCTGTCTAAAGCTCAGTTTATTCCTGATTTCTGTCTTCCATTGTGTAGTAATATATATATATATATATATATATATATATATAACTAGTGTAGCTTTTGTTAGTTAACTGTCCATCCAAGTGCTTCTAGTTTTAAGCACATCCATACACTTATGTGAAATTGGGGAATCCCGACCCTTCCAAACAATACCGAGGTGAGAATTGACTACTTGATAGTACAGCATACATACAAATTAGAATCTGACTTGACAAAAATAATCTATGATAGATTTTAGTGCTTTTCTACGATGCATTATGCGCATATTTGTTTGTTATCATTTCGTTTTTGTTCTATTCAATTTATCTGCATGAATTCTGAAATTCTTGATATAAGTATAAAACTTGGGCACTGTGGTAGAGTGTAACTCCATTATGGATAAGATTTTATTTTGATAAATCACACAGTGTTGTACAGTTATATTAACTGATGACGTTTCGAGCACAAACTATTGCTCATAATCATATCAAGTAACTCACACAACTTTTTCCTTCATTTATATATATGTATAGAATTGACTAGATATTTGAATAAAAAATCAATATGAGATAATGTACATTCAGAGATGATAATATGAGTGTTATTGATCAAATACAATTAGATGGGAAATAAGACGAATGTTCTTATAGTTATAATAAGTAATTTGTTAGAATGTTGTGATTTGCTTGAATTGAAATTCTTTGTTGTAATTATCCGTTCCATACAGAGTTCAAAGTTGGAGATAATCACTCACCACTAACTTGTGCTGCTTATTCTTCAAGTATGAATTTAAAAACAAGCAAAACATGCATCAATTCACCTACTGGACAGTCGTTTAACAACCTTACTGTCGACGTCACCTCAAATTCAAATAACTGTTCATCCGAAGCAAGTTATAATCCAAATAGAACTCCTAATATGAGTCATACACCGATGAATTTTCACTCTTGCAGACAGGATGATATTCGTTCATCTCAAGTGACGGATTGTAGTGAACACAAGCTCTCTGATACGAGTGAATCTAGCAGTAGTAGTGTTACAAGTTCATCCCCGAGAGTGTTTTCAGGAATAGATGCAGCGTCAGGTTCTGGTCACAGGTGTCGTACACCCAGCACTATAGCTTACACCCATAGCTCTGCTATGGAAGATAATGATGAAGATTTCCCTACCGTTAACTCATGCCGCCGACATGATACTAATGCAGATTGTGATTCGAATTCTGACTCATCGGAAATCAAATCTTGTTCTGGATCAACGGAACCCGATGCATTGAAGACAGATGACTTCCGATCTTATTCATTGTCTTCGTTATCTTCTGTTACTGATGAAGTGAGCAACTTTTCTTCCGACGAACATGAAGTTGAAAATTCTCGTCTGTCAGACTTCTCTTCTTCGACTGTTCTTCATCAATTTACAAGCCGCCTGAGCAAAATACTACGACGAGTTGAAGAACTTGATTTGCTTCAGTTAGCAGCTGTTGTTCAAAACAAACTTGGAGCTACGTACAAGAAAAATTCTGATCAGGAAGATAGCGATAATTCAAGTACACGAAATAATATCTCTTCCACGTTACCTGACTCAGCGCGTCTTACCAAACAAGAAATCATATCATTGTGCTCAGATTCAGCTAAAATTCGTTCGGCTGGATCAATGTCAACTATACCGACTGGTCGTTTGGTTAGGTTTCTAACCTTACTTTTAGTCAACATGCAGGAAGCTACTTCTGTTTCTCCGAGTATTTCAGGTCTAGTAAGTTGATCTCGAATATGCTTGTTTAACCAATTTAATCCTAAGTAAATTATTTTACTTTTCGGGGAAATTAAATTTATACTGTCCTATATGATCACGGTAGTTCTTAAATCAAAATTTATTTTGTTACACTTCCATGATACAGTCAGTGCCTTAACTACTGATGATCTAATCATGTGCGGCTAGTCGGAAAAATATGCAATCAGTAGTATGTGCGCAAAGTAAAGCTTTAAAAGGTAATTTACTGAGCTATAAAGAACCTCTGTTTTCCAAGATCACTTTAAAAGGTTTCAAAGGTGGTTAGAAGGTAACAGTTTTGTCCCATGTATACTGTATAACTGATAGTACAATTCGCTGTACTTTAGTCCAGCTTAGATATGGATTCGCAGCTGTATTATTACTACACGTTTGCGACTATATTTATTCTTCGAATTAGTTTTTAACAATCAACCTTTAGTTATAATGCACTAACTGGCTATGAATTTACTGTATGGTGGATAAAGTTAGTGAGTCACTGATGACGGAAGTGGACCAATTTATTGACGCAAAACCCTGCACCAGAGCTCAGCACTTAAGTCTTCATGCTTCATAAAATCGCATGCGAAAGGTATTCAATGGATATATGGTAAAACTATAATAAACAAAAAGTAGGGGTTTAGAAGATGTAACCGTAGAACTGATAACTTTTCAAAACTCTCGCTTTCATCATAAGGTTGCTTGATGCTCATGTTTGTTTTCATAATTAACATTGAGTGTAGAAGCCAAAGAAAAATGTCGGAATGTTTGTCTGAGTTCCACAAACTTTTAAGACAGTGAAGATCAGAATGTATGGAGAAGTTAGGTGTCGTGTGTTCTTGGAGAGATTTTTAAATTGGTTGCATACAACATGCATTTAGTTCCACTGAATTTGACAAATGGAAAAATTTATTCGGTGATTATCGATTTGGTATACTGGCAATATGTTGTTTTTATATTTTTATTCTGTTCCGTTAATCCAGTATGTCGGCCTATATAAAGTGACAAACAAACTCCTCCAGGCGAGTTATTAGCAGAAAATATTGGTAAGTTAGCAGTAGGGCTTAAGCTTTTTAACCCAGCCAGTTGATGTTCAGACAACTCATCACACGGTTAAATTCCAGTTTACCGACTGGGATCAGTTCTTCAAAACAGCACGCATAAACGTCTTACAACCCATGTTCCACCGTGCAGTCTTCCACGTGGTGAATGAGTCTAGTATGCAACTTTAAAATGACTTTATGGTTTAACGCAGTGGAGATCTGAGTTGTGTGAAGCTGTCTATTGATCCTGCCTTATCCTTATCAGCATTATGATTGATAATTTATCAAAATGTAATGGAATTCTCCCAAATAAACATTGAAAAAGTGTATTGAGGCACCATCCTCGAAGAGTATAACTGCTCACTATAATTTGTTGTCCTAGATAAATGAATCAGATTGTCTTTACATAGATTACCCATTACTTCATTTTGCGAACAGTTCCAGATAGTCCGTTAATTTTTATCATGTCTGACAATTTATTGTAGCAGAAACATTATAGTTATTTTGTCTTAGAAAGCCTATTCATTTCTCTTGGGAAACTAAAGCGTATTTTTCTCTGTTTAGATATACTGAACAATAGACCAATGAATTTCACTTAATAATTACACTCTCTTTTCCTAGATTGATGCGCATCGAGATGCCAAGAAACGATATAAGCATCATCGAGAACAAAGTGCTCTCAGCAGTAAATCACTGGTTAAGAATGGGTATTTCACAGAAGCACTTTTATGGTCCGATTCAGAATGGATGTCATCCCTCATTGGTTTAGACTGCGCCCGCACAGCTTTAAATATTATTGTTGGACCAGATATGCCCCGACCTTTGCTTATGGAGGATTTAATTGAAGGTATTGTATCTGTTGTACGGCATCAGTTGGATTGCTTGATTCATAATATTATAAGTAAGTCCTAGTTTGTCATTTTCTTCATAATGAATTTAGATGTCGTCAAGTAAATAGTTTTTTGCTTTTGATTATATGAATTATTTTCTTGCTAAGTTTTATTACCGTGACCTGTTGTTGATCACTTCCGAATGATCGTGGTACTCCCAGTGATTTCTTTAGTATCCTAGTAACTACACTATATCTATCATTTTGTCACAGTGGTGTATTTTGTGTGGTAGCTAGGTATTGTTCTTGTGAACATTGAAAGCTCGCATAGTAACAATCTAATAACCGCGTACTACTAGACTTCAGTCTTGTGAAGTTACTTTTTTTAAATCCATTGTATCGAAATTGTGAAATGAAGCATGTTAAATATATAAAATTCTAGAATTGCTGGCTATCCAATCTTGTAAACTGTGTTTCAGACATTTGTCAGTTAACGTGTTTTTCTACCTTGCAAGTTGTTTACATACAACAAAAAAGTGAGTAGTTTCATTACCCTTCTATATTTTTCTGAGAACACTAAATTTAGGTTCGGAGGTTATCATTCTAATCATATTCAGTGTAGCATTCATTCTAATGATGACTGTATGAATCCAACAGATTATCATTGTCATCTTGTCTTACATAATGAATAATGTAGATTAAATATGTTCAGTGATTTTATGTTTCTTCGGAGATGTCAGCCAAGCTCATCCTGCTTCACAAGACTGGTGGAATCCACTCATGGTGAGAGAACTGTAATCTATGCAAGAAACTTTCAGTGACTGGATATTTTGTTGTTTATATTTCATTGATATGAATGGTATTATTTATAGATAGGTTCTGCGTCACTGAATTGTCTTTCAAATTTGTGTCATACTCTCCTCTGCAGGATTGAAGACGAGCTATTTTGTATTGGATTGCTCGTTATTTAGTTGAGTTTGAAATCTTGAAAGTAGTAATAACTTTGTTGTATATGTCTCATTTTGGCTTTTTATCAACAGTATCATAAGCCAACATTTGGACACATAATAGTTTCTTAAATCCCCCTTGTATTACTGAAGTAATTAATTCTAATCATTTGGGTTGAATGGATTTTTCAACAATTGTAATCAATAGTTGGCAATATTAGAAAAGGTAATTTACAATTCCTTGCAATAATGTCAGTGCATGAAATAATTTAATACCCAAAATTTAAATTAATTTTTTATTTCCTTAATGTTACATTAAGTTTCGAACTTAACATCTTTAATTTTAGGAGTTACTACTCATGCTCCACGCTCTAGCGGTTCCTCTTTGTCCTCAAGTTTCTCAGCACTGGGTTATGTTGGCTACCGTGTAACACAAATCATAATCCTATTAGTGAATCTCATGCGACTGCAGCCTAATCGCTTCACAGACAATTTGGTAATCAATCTAACTTCCCTCGCTATGGCTATTCCTTCATATTCGCTAACGTCAGGAACTAGTATAACAAACGAATGGAAACGTTTTCTTTTGTCTCCACAGACGTCATTCGATTTGGCCAGTTATACAGGAGACTCAGAATCCATGGATGCATCAGCAAAAGCTCTTAATACTCTATTTCTTGTTAGTTGGCCTGAACACTTACAACGCGGAAGCCTAGCACTTGTAAGCAGTTTGTATAGTCAATATGAAGCACATCGGAAAATGATAATAGATGAAATCTTCCGCACATTCTTATCAGGTCTTGATGTCAAACGGGCATCTACAGCAGAAGTGAGCGTTGACGGTGAAAAGGGTTCATGTTCGTCTGACAGGCGAACAGCTAAGACTTTCCGGTGAGTTTTTTAAAGTCAAAGTTATAATTACTATATTGCAAATTAACTCTATTGTATTATCGAGCTTTTCATTGATCAGAAAAGCTCTAAGTAAAAACTGCTTCACACGTTGTTTTAAGAATGATCAGTTTACATTGCTCTATCGGTGAGCTGATTCGCCCACTACTTCTCCCCGTTACTAGAAAGTATTTTTTTTCCTTTTACCATCTAGGTTGCTGTCATCCTCTTATTTTTACGAACAGTATTATGGATCCAAATCAAAAGCTGTCGAATCTGATTCAACTCGAGTTGAAACTCCTCAGTATTTGTACATTCATACATTAAGTGCTCTCTTCCTTTGTATAACGCAAAGCTTAATTCATACGCCGAATTTTTCATTTCCTGCAAGCAATGGATCCAATACATCTGGTCGTAAGTTTTCGTCATCTGCTGTATCTACTCCAACACAAAGTTCACTGGTTTCTGAGGCTATTACGGTTGATAATGCGCAATTCAGTAAGGATGAGAAGCACGTATTAAGTAGTTACAGTACAGCTGTACGACATGCACATTATCTGATTTCTGGTTTATTCAAGAGGTGAGTCACTGATTTTCAAAATAGTGTACTTTTTTGGGTTACTAGATTGTCTTTCATGAAAATGTACTCAAGGTTTTATATGCAAAATTCTTTCATGATCTTTAAAGTAATTCAAATGGATAAACGTGTGTGGCGAAGGAACCGTGTGAAACCTTTTTTTATTGAAAGTTTAATTCCAAGATTTGAAAGCAGCATAACGTCTTTATCAGCTTTTCATCTTTCCCATCACCTTAGTCATAGTTCTACATATCTGCACATCTTTTGCGGCAGTTGTGAAGAATATTTAAAAGAACTTATCACAATTGTGTACGAGTTCAAGATACTACATCTAGTAAGTAACATAAAATGAAACTAGTGAAAAGTATACACACAGTAATAATAAAATAATAAGATGAACGAAATGGTTAAGCAAATCCATATGGTATAATGAGATACGTAATACTACACTGAAGTAATTAATTAACACTTGTTTTGTCGATATAGATTATGTGCCGCTGCTGCTGAAGATTTAAAGTACAGATTTCCATCATCTTTAAAAATTAATTAATACAGATCACGCTTTGTTTAATTTTAATGTTTCATGATAAAGCATACTATCTTTGGTCTCTTGTTTTCTCACAGCTACATCTAATTTGTTTACTAAATATTGCTCATTATGATTGTAATAAATCAATATTCCAGTTTTTACACTCATCTACTTCAGTTACTATCATTCATGAACTTGTTCATGAATTGAATTTTTTGCTGTTGCTTATTTTTTGAGCAAATGTGCCACAATTTTTACATACGGAGTGTACGTAATTTAGCCAACTGGTAATTTTCTATGTTTAGTTTGAAAGATTATCGTAAAGTAAATAAAAATGAATTCTTACTTCTGTTTTTTAAAGGGTTAGCATAAAAGCTGAATATGACATGCGATCTGTGTTGGAAACTGTTACGAATGACTTGTTAAATGTCACTTTTCAAGCACCCGTTGAGTGGCCAGCATCTGTTGTTCTCCTTAGTGTACTGAGTAGTCTTTTGATTCAACAACTTAGTCAAGCTAATTCGAGTTCTACGAGTTCAAATACATCCTCTTCTCGTTCACGCAATGTTGAATTATGCAATAGGCTTCTAGCTGTGGATACTCTTGCCTCATTAGTTGTTGGTCTAAAAGAAAAAGCTAAAACGTACAACTTGGACTTGTCATCAACATCACCAGCTTTCCAACACAAAAACTTTTCTAAATTAGAAGAAGCGAAAGATGAAGGTGCTGGCGAAAGCAAGCATCAAGCCTGTTTGATTGGTTTGTTATCATCACCAATTCCAGTGGTACATCATTGGTATCTTTCATTTTATGATATCCTTCAAATAACTAATAAAAGTGACAACTCAGATTTAGCGGAATTCTGTGAGAAGTTAAATCTTGGTCAAGGTATGATGTGCTTTCCTGAACTGTGTTCAAAATATTGTGATTTTCTTGTAGTGGTAAGTCACTTTATATCATCAATAATCTTCTTGTTTTGATTCCCATTTTCCGCAATCTGTGAAAAAATATATGTAAAAACTATAATGTCTAGATCCATTCATGTTTGAGAATAATAAAGGGTACAATTTGATAGCTTCGAATAACTTTCATCGATCAACTCTTAAGTCTTGTTCCGCATTTATCCTTCTGATCGTGTAGTTTCAGCTGTCTGTTTAGCTAGTACCAGTGTCAAACTATGCACCAGGACCGTTTCTGCTTTAAGCAAGTGGATTCTCATTGAAATTTATTTTATACTCTTAAATTTTGAAGTTTAATTTAGCTGGATATGTATCTCAGTGCAGGGTTTTTTGTATGTCCAAGTCAGGTGTTTAGGTTCAGAGATGATGAACTGTCAACCTTTTGCGAATTCGTGGTCTGTGAGTCCACTTTTCAAATAATAAGTGCACTGGCTCACATAAGATTCTTAGACGTAAAATCATGCAAACCTTACGATCTACTTGCGAAGCCTGTTGGTCACAGCTTGTGTGTGTAATAACCGTAGAAAATCAAAACAAGTGATTCAGCGAAGAGACTCTCTTCCACGAATTTATTATCAAGCTGTACAATCGTATATATATATATGGTTTTAAGAAATTATATCCGGTGAGGGAATTGAATCATAGGGATGAATGCATGAAATAATAGTATGAAATGTAAATGTAATAACTATGTCTAATAACAGCCAGAAGCTGTTGTGTCACATGGGAACCACTGGAAGTTACAAACCTGGTGTCATTGGGGAATGATGTGGGGGACAAATAATATGTTGGTCAACAACTTCCAATGACTCTTGAACAGTTAGAAGAGTTTTTGAAAATCACTTTCGCTTCCAATGTTCTCTTTTTCCTCTAAACCATTATTCTTCATGTTCGATAAACACTGATCTGTCTAACGAAAGTCCCAAGTACTAAATCACCATAATGAACTTGTCAGATCATTTTAATTTGACTATTTCTAAAGATGAAAGGTAGACACTATTCAGGCTACTGAGAATTTGAGTATTCCATTTCTTTGGAATCTCAACTATCATTGTGCGTAATTTTAAAGAGTCTACTTTATGTACATTACCGTCATCGGGATATAGGTGTGTTACTTGGGCCAAAAATGTTAAGATAGCTTTTGCAAAAAACTGATTCATAAAGGATGAACTGGGTTTCATTCGAATTATGGAGGCATTGGTTGTGTATTTATCCTTAATACATCACCTTAGCACCGCCACATATTTCACCATGCTTTGCACAATGCTGTATTTCGATTTATCTCATTGGGATAAGACTTTGTTTAAGATATTTATAAAACCCTTGAAAGCTGTATGTCAATTTGGTACAACTCTTACCGTCAAAAGTCAGATTTGCAGAGTTGTGGCTTGTCTTGCCCTGCATGTTTCGTTCTGAGTTAAGGATTTTCGGTGGTTCTCTATGCTTGGTCATCACTGGCTCCACAGAATTACTGGCTTTCTGTGACGGCATCACTTGTGCAATTTTGAGGCTCAATGAGTGTTTGAATAGATTAGAAATCTCGGGGTAATACATAATTTCATTTTGGAACTCTTAGGTATGTTCACATCATATGATATGATTATGGAAAATTAATTACGTCCGAAATGTCATCCATAAAATAATACTGTTTCACTGTGTTACGTGTCCAGTGAACAGAGTAATATGGAATCATGTACTACTGTAGGGCATAAACTCTACTTTTATATTAGTGTCAGAAAAAGTTCTGGAGTTATAATGTTCCTGAAACAAATTGTTGTCGTCTACCTTTTTACAGGAGATTTAATTTTTATATTTAATCCGTTTTCTTTTCAGACTGCTCACCGGTTTCATCTCGCTGCCTGGTTGCATAATTGCAGCAGAGGCGCTTCAACTACAACCAGTTTAGATATTCACATGGGAAACATAAAAGAGAATTCAAATATTTCAGTAAAAAGTAAACCTAATGCAGAAAAAGTTCGACATCAATTATTGGCTGAGCTCGCTTTGACTCATTCGTACTCATCAGTATTCACACCTGGATTTTCCTATGCTAAACAGAACATATCTTCGATTAGTGCAACTTGTACGGCATGCCCACACTCATCACAACATTCATTTTCACGCGGCCGTGCAAATTGCATATGCTGTTCATGTATGGGATGGGGGGGTTCGTTTTTAGCTCAGTCCATGTCATCTCAACGTTTTATTGCATATGCTCATGCACCAAGGCTATGTAGTAATATTCGAATTCGTTTGGCTGCCCACGCCCACATTTCCGCAGTTTATATTCTTCGTGCTCATTCAGTTCTACCTAATTTCGATGTGCTTTATGGCTTTATTTGTAAAGTGAGTTGATGTTTCTCTAATTAACTAAGTCACCGTGTTTGTAATTTCTTAAAGTATACTGACATTACTTTTTTCTCTTACCACTAAATTCATAAATTTTTACACTTATCGAAGTCTTTTCTCGTACGTATTATTTAAGAGTGATAGGCTTCCCTTTAATTGCACTGATAAAATGTGCTTAATTTTTTCAACAGCCTCGTTCGTTAAACAACAAACTACTTTTAATTTTTATGGTGGTGGTTCCCACTGCAAGATGATATTTAGCCAGTGATAAAGTGTGTCGGGCCTCTGAAAACACTTTTCTTTCCCTGTCCTAGATTACTTCACCACAAAATACTCCAAATTACTTATGTGGTTGTAATCAGTACAGCTACAAGTTCACTCACAATAGGAATCTGTATATCCAAGTTTATGTTCTCTTGTTGATCACCATCTGGTGTGGAAAATGAGTTGGTTCCCTCCACTTTATATTTAAGTTATTTAGTGATATAATGTTTGGGATAAAGTGTGAACAGACATACGGAGTTCGGTCCATCATAACTGTCAACAACAAAAGATAAGAAATATTCAGCAGTGGAGACGAAATTCTCAGTAAATAATTACACTACTTACAGTGTGTTATTAAATTGTAGATGTTTCCAAAGTCTACACTTACCATGGATCTATTTCTGTTTGTCTCCCTAGTTGTCGTTAACTATAAGAAATATTATTTCAATTTGTTTCTATACACGTCCCGTCAACGCTTGTTTACTTTAGAAGCTACCATACACAACTAATCAACGTGTTTCGATGTTCCTTATTATCTATATTCATCTTTCACCATACCTTCAAACTTTCATATCAAGCTGGAAATTATTGTCTTCTAGTACTCCTTCGACTCTACGGTGAATCAAATAATAAATGTAACTGAACTTATGTATAAATATTCGATTGTACAACCAGGGTTTTCACCGCATATTGCGTATTTTGAAGGTTGAACTGATTTCGACTGTGTATATCTTGGCAACCAGTTTCCTAACAGTCGTATTTCCAATCAATTTCCATATTTTCACACGAGGGTTGTCAGAAATACGCTCAATAAATCTGGAAAACACTTTTCTCATTTCTGTGTGTACTTTCTTTTTGTGTTCGGAACTACTAAGTCTTCTTCAGTGAATTCTGTTCCTCTCTCAAAAGATTTAATTAAACTAGAAACCGGCATATTGCAGGTTTCCCTGCATTTGCAAAGAACATTTTCTTACATCGTCTATTAAACTGTACTGGATCATATCAAAATTTTACTCGTCTTGGTGGTATAAGTGAAAACTACATCCCTAAAAAAAATTAGACAACAAATTATGTCTACTCTCTGTGATGCATCTAATAAACATTTTAATAATGTACGTCTGTGAAGAAAAGGTCATGTGTCTCACTTATTACTGGTTGCGTGTTCATTCACTGTGTTGCTGAAGTACTGTAACCATTATGTTTACTTAAAATTAACAAATTCAGTTTTGTACTCTATCTACTTATATCAGTATTATCCAAAGTTCAAAACTAGCTTATTAAATGTTAAGTTTTTCTTCGTTTTTTTGATTCATTTTGTTTATTTTCTGAATGGTAGTTGGCGGGGGATATCTTAGTTCCTATGCGATCTAAAGCACTACGCTGTCTTGCTTCTGTCATCGATGCTGATCCTAAATTGATGTGCATAACCAAGGACTCCAAAGATAACAGAGGCAAATCTAGTATTTCATCGAATCCAATTTTCGATATCCCACATATTGTTCGCTCACGTCTACTAGACAATTCAACTGCTGTCCGTGAAGCTGCTGTTGATCTGATCAGTCGATTTTTAACTTTACGTCCACAATTTCTACCAGAATATTATTCTATAATTGTGGAACGCATTTTAGACAAAGGCGTCAGCGTACGCAAGCGAGTTATTCGATGTTTTCGGGACTTATTGCTTAACGATTGGAATAAATTTATGGATTCATCAAATTCAAATCCTAATCGACACAGTTTTACCTTAATCGGAAATCAAATCTGCACAGATATGTGTCTGAAACTAATTCGTCGTCTGCATGATGAAGTCAATATTCGAGTATGTTGAATTTTTTTTCTTATCTTATCAATCACTTCTTTATTTTTGTTCTAATCAGCCAACGGTATAAGGTATGTTGCTATGCTATTCAAACAGGAATATATACAAGTAGGACACAATTCTAACACATTTATCCTACGGTATTTAAATAGCTTAACAACATACCTTAAATCTCGAGCCTTAAAAGAAATGCATATTCTTTGGTTTCTAATTACCACCTGAATAAGTATTATACACCGACCAGTTATTTGTTGGAATGCCTATAATCAACTTAATGTAAACTTTTCCTGTAACATTTCTAACTTCCACTCGTCTTGGATTTTATTCATTTCAGAAAATGGTTTTAGAAGTTTTCCATGAATTATGGCTAACACCTATATCCAAGTCGCATGCTCGTTTCTCAAAAGTTCTCGATCGACGAATAATAAGTTTAGCTTCAGTAACTAAAACACTTAGACCAAACAATTTTGACCTGCTAGATAGTTTTGTCGTTCAGGTAAGTCAGAATTATATTTGTTATATTTGTAACTACACACTAATAATTTTGTGTAAATACTAAATGGTCAGCATTGAGGTCGTCATCTGAATTGTTCTCAATTTTTTTTAACTTTTAGACTACATCTACAGACGACTCACATACTACAGTGTGTCAGTTTGATGCAGCTTGTAAACAGATTATTGGGCGCCTCATTGTTTTAATTAAACGACGTATTGGTAAGTTCTAGTGTGTTATATGTATATATTGAAGAGCTATTTGTGTAGCTTTACTTCCGTACTTTCCGCTCAAACGCTTTCGGACCATGTCTTTACCAGCTGTTATGGATCCAGAAGTTCCATTTTCTTCAGAAAATTGTTTGAAAATGCATTCTGGTACACGTCAGTAGCAGTTTAACCTCGTCTGGAGCTCAGCGACATACAATCAGTTGTTTTAAAATCTCTTGGACCGCCTGCTGAATTGTGGGTCATTTAAAAACACGGGCGGGCTTATTTAACTGGATTTGCTCAGTGATGAATTACTGCTACTTTAACTTTCAAAATAACTAATCGTTTTTCTAATTACACTTGATGCGTAACTGCTGGTATTGTTCATTGATAATACTAAGTTGACCTGTGTAATTTCTATTTTTTATGTGTAGTTCCCACTGGACAAAAACTTACCGAATCGCATTTGATTTGGATGACGATGCAATTTGTTTATAAGTGTACGCATACGTTTCTATGTGTTGGTGTGATTAGCAGCAGTAATTTCTATGTTCCTTGGACTGTACTGACATCAAATTTAGTAGTAAAATAAAAATGCTAAATCAGATAATATTATCTTCAGCCAACAATTTATGGACCATCTGATTGTTTGAATTTTGTTTATACTTAATTGGAAGTTATACATTTTACTTGTCGTTTTTCGTGATGTTTTGTTGTAGGTCCTTTGTTGGTCCCAAGCTCTAAGCAGACTGTGAAACAGAGTGAAAATGTAGAGTCTCAAAAATTATCACAATCAAGTTCAATTTTATCTGATATTCATGGTCTAATGGCATGTTTGCATTTGGTCGGCTACAGCAAACCTAACCTTGTTCGACCTCATGTTGGATTTTTAATGGATCTTCTGCATAAAATATGTCTATCCGTCCCTCTAACACTAACCAATGGTGAACAGACAACTAATCAAACGCAACCGGCTAATACTCAGTGCCTTTACCATCTGATCAATGTAATAGAAATTGTACTTACTAAAATAGCGAGCGATTTAAATGAGTCGGATAGTCCTCCTATGGAGGAAGCTATGTTCGCTGGTGTATCGTAAGTTATTTTTTGTAATATTTCGTTTTCACTTCATCAGGTTAGTTCTAGTTTACTTTTCAGATTAATTTTAAATGGAAATGCTATAGTCGTATCTAAAAGGCAATATCATGATAACCAAAAGCGTACCTATTGAAATACTTTAATATTTATTATTATTCCATTTGGTTCTGAGTGAAACGTGGGGTTTCAGCAGCACGTCTCCATTTTATCATGTTCCTTACAGTCGTCTTTACTTGCTCCATGATTGCCCATAAACTCTCATCTTCTCTTCACACGATCTCGGACGTCTAATTTTTGAGGGTCTTGCGTGCTGTATCACTCAGCGTGTGTCCGACCCATCTCCGATTTCTTCTGCATGCTTACTGGTCTACGGATTCTTGGTTGGTTCGTCACTAGGGTTTCTTGCCACTAATTCTCTCTGACTGGCCATATGATCTTGATCTGTTTACAATAGTCTGAAGCCTGTCAGAAATGCTTTTGGTGATGTGCCAAGTCTCTCAATCTTATAAAAGTGCTGACTTGACATTAGTCTTGCAAATCTGAATCTTGCTCTTTATGCTGAGTACAAAAGATTTCCACACTGACTTCAGAGTAATGAGGGTCTGTCTTAAAATCCCGATCCCTATCTTTACATCCTCATCTGTGCCATCTGCAGTTGGAACGATGCTGCCTAGATAAGTGAAAGGAATAATTTCCTTCAAATTTCGCTTGTTGATAGTACTTGATGGTACTTGATATATATACCTTGATATGATTATAAGCAATAAATTGTTCTCGAAACGTCATCAGTAAATATTACTGTATAACACTGTCATAATATCAAAATAAATTTTACCCATAATGGAACCAATATATTTGTCTTCTCTCTCTCCTTGGTCTGTTGCATGATGTAATCCACCACAATCAGCAATATCTTCGGTGATAGTAGACAACCCTATCTTACTCTTTTACTCTAAAAAAATGACTGAGTTTCCGTTGTGGATCACTTAACATGTGACGTAACATGACATTGTAGAGAATGAAGCAGAAGAGACTGCAGATAAGAGGAACCTCAGATCAGTATACCAGATAACCATTTCGGGGAGAGATCACCACGGATGAAACCACTGGAAGATGATGAATGGGAGCTAATTGTCAAAAAGCAGAAGCGAAGAAAAAGACTTGGACTGATCACCGCCAGCAACTCGTCTAGAAATACTACTAACAGCCACAGTACTGCTGCTGAACACCAGTCCTCCGACAAAAGCCGAATTATTGAGTGCCAAAATTATACTGAAAGCCAGGAAGGCAGCCGGACCAGATAGTATTTTTCCCCGTAAGCACCATAAATTGATTCAGAGACTTCAGTGGATATGCTCGTGCCACTTTTGCAGTAAATTTAGGAGGAAGTAAAAGTATGTACAAATCGGAAGAAGGACTACCTTATCAAATTACCAAAGGGCGATTTAAGTCTTTGTAAAAATCGGTGAAGAATGATACTTCCATCCAAGGCCGAGTAAAATAATAAGTCGTGTCATTTTGAAGAAACGTAAGGATGCTATGGATGCAGAACCTGTTTGGAACAAGCTGGATTCAGGAAACGCGAATCATAAGCGGCTCAAATTGCAACTCTATGAGTCATCGAACAAAGCATAGAATGACAGTCAGCTCTCTACTTTAACTTCATCAACTCTGAAAATGTTTCCGACTATGTTGACCGTGAAATAATTTGGAAATTGCTTGTCCCAAACCTTTATCAACCTCATTCAGCAGTTATATGACAAAGCTTATTGTTTCTTTCTTCGCAAGAATTCACACCGACTTGCTGGTTTTCTGAAGGCTTTCACCAGCCGGTTTCATTTCGTCTCTCCGATCCCACTGGAGAACAATTTTGTTTTTTATATTTTTTTCTCTATTGAAGTTTCTGTAGTAATTGGGTTGGTTTTATGGGATAAGGTAGCTACCCCACGCCCAAATTTCTTTCTTATCCCGGCTAGTAAACCAGTGAACTTTCATATATATATATATATACATATATATATACATATATATATATATATATATATATATATATAATGGGGTTTAGCTCAGATATGAGTCTCATACTTCAAAGAGCACTGAAAACAGCGGTCCTAACAACTTGCAAGGTATTACAATTATTATTATTTATTATATTTATTGTATCCTTTAATTCCTACAGGAACATAGGGCTTCAGCCGTGCGTCTCCATTGCGTTCTGTTCTCTGCTAGAGTCTTCACCTGGCTCCAAGTCTGCCCACACGTTTTCATCTCCTCTTCACATGACCTCCTCCAAGTCACCCACCCTCGCACTGACGACCAACTCGCCGCTTCCCTTTCGGGTTCCACTCGAGCGATGGCTTGTCTAGTGATGTCACTTGATGGTTTGTTTCCTCAGAGTATGGCCAATCCATCTCCATTTCTTCCTGCCTATTTGTTTCACAATCGGTTCCTGGTTGGTTCGCTCATTGCCAGAGATCTCTATTGCTGATCTTTTCTGGCCGGCCATCTGATCTTGAGTATTGAGCGAAGACAACTGTTAATGAAGGTCTGTAGTTTGTTTGAGATGCTCTTTATGACGCGCAGTGCAAGTCTCTGATCCGTATAGTAGCACTGACTTCACATTGGAGTTGAAAATCGGGATCTTATTTTTGATGCTGAGTGTTGTTGACCTCCACACAGACTTGAGAGTAGTGAAAGCTTGTCTTGCTTTTCCGATCCTTGCTTTGATATCCTCGTCAGTTCCGCCTGTAGTTGAAACGATGCTTCCAAGGTAGGTAAAGGAGGTTGTTTCTTTCAGGTTCCTCCCATTTATGCTGGTTGTTGTCTGTTGTTGTTGTTGTTGCTGTTGGTGGTGTTGCCCAGGAATTTTCATCACCTCTGTTTTATCTATGTTCACCTGAAGTCCTATCTTCTCCGGATGCTTCTTCTGCCAACTTGTTGCTTTTCGCTTGCATATCTTCCAGTTTGTTGGAAATCAGACATATATCATCGGCGAAGTCGAGATCCTCCAAGTTTTTTGTGTGTATCCACTTTATGCCTGTTTCCTCATTGCCCGCTGTTTGTCGCATTATCCAGTCTACTGCAATCAAGAAAATCATTGGTGATAGTAGGCAGCCTTGTCTTACTCCTGTCCTCACTTCGAAGGGTTCCGTAAGTTTCCCATTGTGGATGACTTGGCATGCAGCATTGTCGTATAGCTGTTGGATGAGATGTATAATTGTCGGTGGCACCCTGTAGTAGCGAAGTAGTTGCCAAATCACCTCTCGATCGACGCTGTCGAAGGCCTTTTCAAAGTCGATGAAGTTGAGATAGAGAGGTGACTGCCACTCCAAGCTTTGTTCAATGATGATCCGTAATGTGGCGATCTGATCAATGCATGACTTGTTTCTCCTGAATCCAGCCTGTTCCGGTCGAAGTTTTTCATCCAGGTGCATGTTTGATTCTCTCCAGGATGATGCGGCTTAGTATTTTGCTTGGGATGGACAGGAGCATAATTCCGCGCCAGTTCTTGCATTGACTTAGGTCTCCTTTCTTTGGTAGTTTGAATAAGTATCCTTTCTTCCAATCCTCGGGTACTTTGCCTTCTTTCCACACCTTCTCCAGTAGTGGCGTCATCAAGTCCGCTGTTGTCTCTGGGTCCACTTTCAATGCTTCTGCTGGGATTCCATCTGGTCGTGCTGCTTTTCCAGCTTTTAGCATCTTGATTGCCTTCAGGACTTCTGATTTTGTCGGGGGGTTGGTGTTCACTGGTAGCTCTGTCTCCGTTGTTGGTATTGCTGGGCGCGTTGTAGGTGGTGGTCGATTTAGGAGTCTTTTGAAGTGTTCAGCCCAGTGTTTCCTTTGCTCCACTTCTTTGTTGAGTGACTTTCCATTGTCATCCTTCACCGGCTTGATTTGTGTCAAACTTTTGCCCGATAGGTACCTAGTAGTTTGGTAGAGTGTTGCGACGTCTCCTTTGCCTGCAGCTTGTTCTGCCTCACTTGCCATGGTTTCATAGTACTTTCTTTTGTCTTCCCTGGCACTCTTCTTTACTCTTTTGTTCAGTGTCTTGTAGCTTGCGTTCAAATCCTGTTTTTGTTGCTCATCGGTGCACTGGAGAATCTTTTGTTTCACCATCCCTCTCTCTTCTATTAGTTTCCAAGTGTCCGTAGTGAGCCATTGTTTGTCCTGTCTCTTCTTTCTGTCTAGAACTTCCATGCAGGTTTGACTGCACACTGTCTTCAAGTTGTTCCAGTGCTTTTCGACGCTGACCTCTTCGCCAGTGTTGATTTGTGTCTCGGCTTTGTCTTTTATACTTGCAGTGAAGATATCCTTTTTTGAGTGTTGAACTTGGCTTGTGGTCTATCTGCAGCCCCTGATTCTCTGAAAGCTTTTAATTTGATTTGGATTGTGCCTTGTACGAGATAGTGGTCTGAGCCAATGTCTGCTCCTCTTCTTACTTTTGTGTCCAGCAGGCTGCGCCTCCACTTCCTTCAGATTGATATGAAGTCGATTTGGTTTTTGGTTCGCCCATCTGGTGACACTCATGTAGCCTTGTGGATATCCTTGTGTTTGTATACGCTGCCACCAATCACTAGTTCATTGAAGGCACAGAAGTCGGCGAAGAGTTCTCCGTTTTCATTCATTTCTCCGAGAGCTTCTCTACCCATGATGAGTTCCCTTCCTATGTTGTCTGATCCCAGTTTGGCGTTCATGTCTCCCATTAGTATTTTGATGTCACCAGCTGGAGTATTGTCCATTGTTGTCTGCAGTTGTCTGTAGAATTCTCCTTCCGTTTCGGGGTCTGCGTTGCTGGTCGGTGCATAGCATTGTATAATTGACACTTTCCTTCCTTTGGAGTTGAATCTGGCGGTTATTATCCTGGGCGAGATCGCCTCCCATCGCATCAGGGCCTTCGTTGCCGTTGGTGACATCATGATAGCCACGCCCTCGGTGTGCGAGTGGTTATCTTCTGGGTGACCGGAGTAGATCACTGACTCACTCGTTGACAATTTGGTGAGTCCATTCCCGTTCCATCTGCTTTCACATATTCCCAGTACTTGAATACCATATCTTTTCATCTCGTTTGCAATCTGGGCAGCTTTGCCAATCTCGTACATAGTACGGACATTCCATGTCCCCACACAGACTTTTCCTTTTGTCTCAAGGAGATACATCGTGCTGAAGTTTCTGTAGCAGGTTTGTTTACAGGGTGGGGTTGCTAGCCTCACGCCTGAGAAGGGGGGTTGTTACAGCAATTTATAATTTAGAGAGAAGCGTCCTTGTGGGTTGCTCCCCTTAAAAACCAGGAAAACAGGGTATAAACAAGCAGAAAAACACCAGCACAGGAAAATAATTCACAACAAGAAGGGTAACAAGCGACAACAACAATAATAATATCACAGTCAATTACAGTTAACCAAAATGATACCGAAATCATAGACTCACTGACTTGAGCCAACTTGAACATGTAAATCCGTCAATATGTATACAATAATAAGCAACAGCATTTGTCACTGGAAAGTTACATATTATGTAGTATTAATACAGTTCTTTAAAACACTTCTGTCATTCTGTTATTAAGTAGGTGAACCTTAGGGTATTGCTTTTTTATTAAATAATGTAAAAACCCAGGTACATAACGCAGTGTTCATACACCAACGATGCCGTGGTTAATTTGTTCTTATAATGAATTGAATTTACAAGCATTGATTGGCTAAGCTCGTGATCTTCCAGTACGCACATCTCTTGCACATAACTGGCCGCTAGCTAGTAAGGGCACCCAAAGAAGTACGCCTGAATCATTCCTAAGCTACCACTTCGTAAATGTCTTTTCTTTGTCACCCCTATAAGATCGGCTTGTTTCGCGTTATAGCAGCCTTCCTCGATTTCTTGAATATGTGTATATGTCATTTATCTAAATAATAATTAATTAACTATTAAAAACAATAAATTTGTCCACTCTAAATTTCGCTTTAACGTTTGCTATTTTCCCTCAGGCGTACTAACTTCTTTCAGTTACAAAGTGATTTACTTCAGTTCGCTCAACGTCATGGTCGTGTGGTAGTGGACTCAGCCTTATCATGCTTAGCAGTTCTCGTCAATCAGGTTTTAAAAGATCAAACTCAGGTCATGTGTTGCTTTTCACAGTTCTATAGTAAGTAACTGTTTATAATCTATTAGGTTTTTGATTCTAGTCCCACTTCATTTTTGTGAGAACCATCATTTGTTGTGTGTGGTGCGGTCGAGCACACAGAAATCCGAACAAGACGATTGATCTGTGTTATTAGTTAGCCTACCTATAATTGTCATGTTTGCATCCTTTGTTGAGTCGTTGTACGTCCTAGATAACTTCCTTCTGTTTTACCGTCCTCGTAGGTTGATCTTAAATATTATCTCTGAGCCAAATGTATTGGCCTTTTTCTTCCACAAGTAAATTAAAATTTGGTTTCTTAATGATTTTATACTGTCGGGGTGTCAGTAACCTTATTTGCCGAAAGAATTGAAACCTTATGCTTGTTCAAATGGTATGTATTGCTCTTTGTAAAGGCTTAAAAACTCACGGGTTGAAGTAATAAAATGTATTTTAATTGTTTTTATTCTCTATTTTAATCTCCTACAAACAACATTTTTATTCCCTTTAATTTCTGTCTCCATCTACTGGTTGCTTATATTGATTTTCAGGCCTTCTTACTGATCTTTCATTGGAATTACGAGAGGCTCTTTCGACAAAAATAGGCACTTCTACGCGAATATCATCCAAATCTCGACCGACAGTCTTACGAGCACTGTATACTGTTGGTTTGATATGTAAATATTTTACGTTGGATTATTCATTCAACGGTAATAGAAAATTGGTGAGTTATAGTTGTATTTATACTTTTGCATTAAAACTAAACAACTTTGGCTTCCACTGAAGTTTATTACTTTTGGCTTTCAATTTTCTGTCTTATTAATTTTTAGACTGTATCCAATTCAAATTTGCTGGATGAAGTTGTAGATACATTGATGCTGTTCGCGGAGTATGCATCTGTTCGCATTCCTGTACAAGAAAATCTACCGGCTCGTGGGAATAGTAGTTCTATGAATGATAATAACAATAACATTAATTCTTTGCATACGAAATCAGATATGAACGATCCAGACTTATGCCGTAAAGCAATTACTGGATTGGGTTTTCTCTTGTATCGTCATGACCAACTTTTTTGTACTGGTTCTGTGCAATTGTTTTTAACTAGGTTTCTATCTACTGTTCACAGCTCCTTGACCAATAACCATTTAACCCATGGGTCTTCATTCTTCGATATTCAGTGCATTATACTGGACAATCTAACTCATTATTTTTTATCCAAAGAGCGCAAAGAAAATGCAGATGATCGAAGATGTAAGTCATTCCTGTGTTAGTGCAAAAAAGATATTTCGTTGGTGTATATGCTTCTTCAGCTCAGACTGGTAAAGATAGTATGAAGGGTATTCGTTGTCTTTTAAGGCGCATAGGGAAAAAATCTGTTCACTGATCCTTTGATTAGACACTACTTAGTATCCATTACCCGTCAATCGCCCACGGGTATCTTTCCATGATTTGGTTCTAGTTTTTGTCCGTTATATTTGTCTCTACTTGTTTTCATCAATTAGAAATCTGTGTCTTTTTCACGAGTTAGTAACACAGAGACATTCGATTTCTGGCGTTGATAACGATATATCGTGTACAGCGAAAGTTGCATATTTTTCAAAAAAAATCTAAACTGTAAATGTAGTCCATTTCCAGGACTATCCAAGTTAATATAAGTATCTATTCATACAATGTGATCGTGCAAAGACAGTGTATATTTGCATGTCTTAAAAATGTTAAATATAAAGATTAAATATTTCACGCCAGAAATAAAATAATTCTAGCTATTGCATTTGTTTGTAGAGCGTTTTGCGTGTCACCTTCCTGAACTCGAAGTGATAATAAAATAGTGTCACAGCGAATAAATATTGTTCAAAGTCGACATTACCCTCGGTTTTACATTCCCTGATTTTTGCATGTTTTAATTGCATGCAGTATCGTAGTACTCGTGTTAAAATAGTAGAGATGTTTGACTTCACTTTAATGAAAATGTTCTTGATATATCTAGAAGTGCAATGAAGGCGTCTCAATATAAATCTACAGCTTCGACTACACAGCAATAAAAACATTATTTTGAAATTTGAATATTTTTTCTCACTTTTACTAGTTTATAGTTGGTCACAAGGTGAAACATAGACGGTACACTGAACATAACGTACCATTCTTTTGAATTTCCTGATGAATAAATTTCCGGAAATTTCGCATCTTCATATGTTATTAACTATTACCTAAAATAATGCATTATGTTTATCTTATTGTTTAGGGGCTAGGCGTTCTAAATTCGAATCTTTAAAAGAATTAAATGATCGAGAAACTGGCCTCAGCAGCGCAATAGCTCAAACTTATCTACCAATTGTCCTTAAATATTGTGTCGTCACTCCATCTCTTAATGTTCGTTCTTCAGCCCTAAGTCTAATGTCAACCATACTGCGTCAAGGATTAATTCACCCATCACATATTTTATCCTCGCTGATGTGTTTACAAACTGATTCAGATCCAAATATCCGTTTACGTGCCACAGCATGTTTGACAGAAGCAGAACAAAAAATCCCCGGATTCGCTGCAGTACGTTTCATCTAACGTTGGTTTTATTTTTCTTGTTATAATCGATTCAATTTTCGTGTATAATTATTTGTAACGGGAAGTGATTGCTTCTTTGTCTACATGCATATAGGCTATAGAACATGGGTACTAGATATAATCACTCAGAACAAATATGCCTATATATATAACCCTAACAGTCTATCAAATACTGATGAATTCCTTAAAGTTCGTGTTACATTTAGGATCAATAGAAGTTGTCAGCTATCCATGATATCTTCAGTAAACATATCATTGCCTTTTATAGTGTATAAGCAATAACTTCTCGGCATTTAGCAGGAAGCACTTAACTAACCTGCGGATATTTCACACAGTTATCTTCCATACATAATTGACAATAGTATGCGGCTTTTTCCTAGGAAAAATATCCTTCCAATTCTAACATGACTCAACGAAACCGTACGTTTCACGTTATTACAAAACCTTGTGAGGCACTGTACATAGTCTTACAAACCGAATCGGATTTCTAACTCCGAACGTTGCAGGTAAGTGTTTCAGTTTTAGCTCCTGCACATCCTGAAAGCGCCTATAAATATGGAGAGAAAAAAATACTCTACGCCTAATCTCAATCTAATTGACAATATTCAACCACTAAACACGGAAGATAGGATACAGACTCCTGTGGGTGAAGGGTGCCTAACCTCTTCATACCACTTTCAGTCGCCGTGTCTAACATCCATGAAGATGGACGGAGTGAACCATTGCACGGTACACATGGCCTTCGATCGACAACCGAATACCACGTCTAAGTCAGAGATAACGTGAGTTGACAAATTACCGGACGGGCCTTTCGTATTCGTACTGGGATTCCGTCTGCAATCAGTCCACTATGGCTGATGTAACTTCCCGAATAAATGAAATCCGTTCACTTCACTCCCTTTTTTCAAACTAGGAATCGGTGCAGACCAATCTTGCAGCATCATCACACATTTGACAGGGATTAATAGCATCAAAAACATGCCAATATTTCTGTTCAGTGAGTTCAAGGGATTTTGACTTTTGCCGATGTCTTCACTTCTAGAAGGAATATAACATCTACTTTCTGTGAATAGTTAAGCTTTTATCGCTTCCGATTGTTGACGGTCGTTGGGGCCTTCAGTCAGTTGGCACCTGATCACCAGTTCCTTTTTATCATATTTGTAGCATCACCGAATCAGTCTGCTTGTGCCTATCAGTTCGGATAAAGCGACAGATATCCACTAGAATTCTCTAGCCTTTGGCTTTGGGTTATTATCAAACTTTGCCTCATTTTGACAATACACTGGATATAAAGCAAAGCTTCTTCGAAAATGAGTATTTCTGTCAGTCTCAGATATGCGTTTAATTATTCCTACCCTAAATAAAGACTTCATCCTCATCAAATTGTGGGGTGACTAGCATTTTTTTAGCTGCCTGTTTTCTGTGTTGTTTCAGTCATAGCCGTATACTAGCCCGTAATTGCGCTTGATCGTAGTCTTCACAGGTATTTCAGAAGGAGTCGTCTTTATACGTTTTTGACTGGTATATATTTTGTATTTGAGCGCTTAGATCACTTGCAATTTACTTTCAGTGGACAAATAAAAGGCTTTTGATCGGACAGCAGTCGGTTGAGCCTTAAGGAGAATTTACGAAAATGCCCCGAGAGGTATCAAAATACTCTTCTTTGTTCTTGCAGATTTGTTCATGCGGATGACGCACCACCGTTTTGTAGAATCCATCCAAATAGCAATTGTTTTTATATAGTGCTGAAAGTTATTGATCCAAAGCCGTATGTGGCTGCTATTCAATCTATTTGTCGAAAATTGGATCAAAACGGTTAACAAGTCTGAGTAACTGAAATTCTGGCATCCCCTGTCACATGCATGTACATCTTGTATGAGATGTGAATTCAATATTCAAGCTTTATCATATTGTGGACTAGAGTAGCAAATCACTTAACAATGCAAACGAAAATATTGCAGCACTGAAATATAACATGCTATGACTCCAGTAGTTTTACGAGTGATTGATGAAGGCTATCGGTAAAATAAATGGTACTTGCGGAGAGAAGCATTATGTTGATAAATCTAAGTCCAGCAAAATGAGCTAATTCCACTTCTTATGCCAGTTAAAAATATTCACCCTGGTTCTCCAGTGTTATGAAACTCTTGTAAGATGAGTCAAAAGTCAAGAATTAATATGTTCTAGAATTTTGCAAGGATTAGAGCTATAACTACCTAGTTGGTGATCCCGCGTTAATGTGAAATGTATCTATAAATCCAAGAAAAAAAAGTTTTTTTTAGTAGATAGCTTACGTACTCATGACTTTCCTTATGGTTCATTCAATTCTTTTTCTGTATCATATTTCAGTCAACGTAATAAATTTAAGTCTCCACATACATTTCCCATCCTTATTTTTTTATAGATGCGTGCTGTTTCTGGTATTCGTCTGTCATACCAATTACAAATGGTTTTGTATCCGTGTGAAACGTCTTCACCTGTGATTGTACGTGGAGCGAAGGATTCAAAGAATAATTCTGAGGCTAAATCTCTTTCACCAAGCAACAATTCTACAAATACCGTCCTCTGCATTAATCACGCTTTATACGCCATGTTGAGAACCAATAGACAGCAGCGTCGGTCACTAATTGTTAATCTACTATCTATGTTTGATGATCAACAGGTAAATTTGTGATATATATATATATATATATATATATATATATATATATATGAACAGAGATAAGTAGATAGATAGGCGGGCAGAGAGGGAGTATTCAGGTTCTTTTAAGCACTATCAGTTAACTTTTGGCTTTTCAGTGAAACAAAGTAGCACTAAAGTCCTAATTGCTACCTTTTAAATTATCAGTGTTACGGTGGAAAATTTGTTTTTGTAATATGCCATGACAAATTAGGCGAGAGAATTTGAAATATCAACAGACTCTCCTATAATCTTAAACTTGACACAAGGCAAATGGTTTTCTGATGATCCTCAACTACTATTATTGCCTTCTTTTGATTGAGTTGTTTCCTATAAATTATCAGGCATGGAACAGTCTGATGATTATATCTTCTATGTGTTAACTTTATAGGATTCAACGGTGCTTGCTGGTGAAAATGCAACATCTCAAAATCGTATAAGCCAGTTGATTTTTATAGCAGACCATTTGGCACATTTCCCATATGTGGTTTTGGATGAAGTGTACTATGTTGCGGATCTAACGGAGCAAAGAATTAGTCTTATAGGATCTAACATTTTACGATCATTATATCGGAGTTTGCTACCTGCTTACCAAAGTAAATACTCAAATCCTGAAGCTTCCGAGTTATCTAAGCATTCTGGCGATCGAAAACTGGCAACTGAAACTGATCTTATGGATTTTCTTGATAAATGTGAGGCCAACTTACCAAGGGACTATGATCTAAACACGTCGTTCGTAAACATAGATTCAATGAAAAATATAGACAGTCAAAATTCCCACAGTTCACTTGAGAAGGAATTGCAGTATCTGTTTAAACACTGTCAATCAGATAATCTGAGGAGCAAAGCGCGATCATCCATGATATACTCAGGACCATCTTGCTTATTGCTGATGACCATCCGCAGATTCATTCGTCAGCATTATGGTGTTTCCTACAAGTAAGTGTTTTAGAAAAAATTGTGCACTGTGTAATTGCAATTCATTTTATCATGGTATTTAAATTGGATCGGTTTATATATATCATCGTTTGTGTAGTTTCATTTGCCACAGGCTACATAAGTAACATACCTGATATGTTTTCTGCGGGTCTGGCCTACTGCTGCTGCCTTGACGTGGTGGTTGGGCTTGCATATCTCAATGACCCAACAAGCTGTACTGACTGGAACTAATGTTCCTGCAGTTCTCTGCCAGGAAGATTGTTAGGACAGCGATTATACTAAAAGCTTATACCGACATCGTGTAAGTCTGTGGGGAAACTCGTACAACTGGGGAACAGGGATGTGACAGCAGTAAGGTGTTTCCCTCAGGTGCCCAGCATACTGCTCAACAGTCCGCTCCGTCCTTCTTTATGGCTGTGAAACCTGGCCATTGAGAGAAGAAGACATGAAAAGATCAGCTGTGTTCGATCATAGATGTCTGCGTTCTATCTCCCGCATGAAGTGGTATAATAAGGTGAGCAATATTGAGGTTAGGCGTTGAGTGCTAGGTAAGAAGGGGAAATCAATAGACGAGACTGTGAAATTACATCGACTGAGATGGTTAGGACATGTGCTACGTATGCCTAGTCATCGCCCTCCTCGACGGGCAATGTTAGCTGACATAGGACCAGGCTGGAAAAGAGCTAGCGGCGGTCAAACGAAAACATGGCACCAGTCAATGAAATCTACGACAGTTAGTCTAAGCCATGTAGGAAGGTGTAGACTTCCTGGTTGGGGTCCTCGGGACGGTAAAAAGCAATGGTTGGAGACAATCAGCGATAGAGTTCAAAATTGTTCTCAATGGGCTAGTGCAGATGCATCCACTCCTTGTGACTTATGATTTCCAGTGAGACCGTTTTGTTCTCCGTTATTACTATTCCTTTGTCTCACACCTCTGTTCACTGACTATATTATGCATTTCTCCTACTTTCTTCTCTTGCTTTGTGTGCTACATGGAGTGTGCCGACTTGAACTGCCACACATATGTGCAAAGTTCTATGTCGAAAACCGACCGACCGACTGCCCAGCATGCTAGTTATTTTGTCTCTCCACTCTAGAGAGAGCGGGTTAGAACAGATCGACCCCAAAAGGTGTACATCCCAACTTACCTTACAGTGGTGTGCAGCTGGTGGTAAGGTACTAATACGGAACCAACCCAAAAAGTTAGTTCATACAGACTGTGTGTGACTGGCCTCAAGCAGTTGTCCCTTTGGCTATGCAGTCACGCAACACTAATTCTGTTTGTGTTTCAGGTACCCCAAGAATAAATCAACTTCCACGGTGTGGTCAGCCTGGAAGTAACAACTGCCCACACACTTCCGAAAGCACCCGGAGCCCTCTTGATCATCATTCTCCTTTATCCCTGTCACCATCATCTTGCTTCCGTTTTACTGTCAGTACTGTTCTGCACGCCAGTCAGTCATTTTCATTTCATTCTATGACCACAAATAACTATGCAACCCAGAAAAAATACCCGGTAATTTCTTAAACCCACACTGCCAACGTCATACTGTAGCCTTTCACGTCAGGACACTGTCAAATTGGACAACAGGCATCACTAGCTAAAACTCTGGCATCTTGAGCAATGAATACATGTTGTGTTTCAGAGGCATACATACAAGATCTGAGTATGTTCATTCACTTAAAAAAAAATTATTATTAGCCTCACTCAGCTGACAAGGTGATTCTACAAAATTCACCTTGAGGATGTCAGGAGATTCCTCAGGTAGTTTGCGAGGACTCGCATGTGTAGGGATAGCATTGAGTGCTAGGGCAGAAAAATCACTTCGTGACTGAATCCCGATACAAAGTCTTATGTGTGTGGTCCGTCTGAACAGGTCAGTTAGAAGAAGAAGGACGGCCTTACCCATTGTTATCTTTCCATAGTCTATAATTACTCCTCAACCGACTGTAGTTCTGATGAACTGAAGGAGGACTTCTACCAGCAACTGTGTAATTTGCTGCAAAAAGCAAAACGTTCAGATATATTTGTTTTAGCAGGCTACTTCAATGCCTAAGTAGGGAAGTTATGCCAGACTGAGAAGTATATAGGTGGTGGAACGTGCGGAGTTCCCTGCCGACGAACCGATAACGGTGGTCGTCTTCTACAGTTCTGTTCAGATAATCATCTGTTCCTAATTAGCACTAACTTTAGGCACAAAGAGAGACATTGCGTAACCTGGTGACCTCCGTCACCTAACCAACGCTGGACTCAAATAGACCACATAGCGATAGGGTATCGTTGGCGAGGGTCAGTAGAGGACTGCTGCTCCTTCTGGAACACGTGTGAAGACTCGGATCACACCCTGGTTTGCGCACGTTTATGATTACGATTGAATGTGAATGAAAAACTGTTGTCAGGGAAGCAGTTATGTCGCCAACTGGATCAGCACACTGAGTACCTATATAAGGAAGAAATAGCGGAACGAGTATCTGAGGTCTCCATGAAGACTCCTCCTGAAGAAGCCTGGCACAACATGTAGTTAGCTGTTGACGCAGCTGCAAAGACTGTTAATAACCTGGAAGCAAAAGTTAGTAAAAGCCAGTGGATTTCTACCATCTCATCCGAACTAATAGACTCAAGAGGACTAATTCCGACGAGCTCCGAATGTGATGATGAGCGAAATCTGATCAAAGGCAAACTGACAAGAAGTTTTTGTGACAACAGTGAAAAGTGGTGGGCACCAAAAGCGAAAGAGATGGAAAAGGTATCAGCCATAGATAACACGAGACAACTATTTAGACATACCATGGAAACACGTGGCAAAAGGTAAATGATAAGTGAAACAATTTTGGAGGAAAATGACACCCTGAATAGCTCTCTGGGTCGAGCACTGGAACGTTGGTAACAACAGTTTGAGGAGCAATTTAGCTGGCCTACAGCCACAGTCAACCTACTGAGCATCCAACACCTCCCTGAGGGGATGTAAACACCGGCCCTCCCTATCTAACTGAGGTCACATCCACTGTCACTAATCCGAAACGAGGCAAGCCAGCGGGACCTGATAGGACGACCCCAGAGGTGTTTATAGACGGAGGGCGCAATTTACTGTCTACGTTAACTCAGATATTAAGCAGCGTCTGGGAATCAGAGGTATTTCTGTCGGGTTGATGTACGTCATTGATTATCCCGATGTACAAGAAGGGAGATAGGTCTTCCTTTGATAATCATAGGGGGATTAACTCGACCAATAGGTATTTAAAGTCTTAGTCTCAGTAATCATGCCTAGAGTAAGTGGCGCTCGGGAGAAACGGACATGAGAGAATCAGGCAGGCTTTAGTCTAGGAAGAGGGTGTATTGATCATATCTTCACCCTTCGACAAATTCTGGAACGTAAGCATACTTACCGGCGTCCAACAGTTGTCATATTTCTAGACCTGAAAGCGGCACTCGATTCCGTTGACTGATTGGTACTCTATCGATGTTTAGCTGTGAAGGGAGTTCCGAGAAAATACATTGCACCAGTAAAGGCACTCACTCTACTCGAACTCATGTAGCCAGCCAGGTTACAGTCTACTGTGAGTTGTCATCTAAAGTGGTGACAGCTAGTGGTGTCCGTCAGGGGTCTCCACTGTACCCATTTCAGTTTAACTTCATCATAGATGTACTAATGGACTTAACGCTAACTGAATTCAGTAACTCAGGGATTGACTTTTTGTCAGGGAATAATAGTCTCGGTGACTTATAATATGCAGGTGATATAGTCCTCCCTGTTAGGTGAAGACACTAACAAAATGTAGAATCTTCTGAACATCTTGTGCAGCAGCAGTCTTCTAATACTTGGCATGTGATTCGTTCATGTCAAATGTAAGATGATGCTACAGTACTGGACTACATTGACTCCTAGCTTAAAGATAGGGAATGAATTCGTCTCTGAATATGTTGGCAACTGCACTTATTTGGGAAGTTGCGTCAACCCTAATAAACTGATTTCTGGTGACAAAACGCAGTCTTCTGGACACCTTGAGCAGCAATCTTCGAATGTTTAGCATGTCATTTGCTCCCGTCAAATGTGAGTTAATTCTGCAGGAGTGGAGTCCACCGTCTCTTAAATATAGAGAGTGAAGTGGTTAAGCGTGTTGGCCACTTCTTCACGATTGGAAGTTGCATCAACCCTCATCGACTTAATTCTGATGAGAACTCAGCATACATACAAAAGGCTGGTGTGGCATTTGCCAACGTATGTCATCTCTGACGCATACATGATATCCGGATCTCCATGAAATGACGTGTGTAGCACGCAGCAGTTCGTTCTGTTCTGTGGTATAATATAGGGTGAAATACTTAGATTACTTATGTATTGCTGGATAAGGAGGATAAGTCAATGGACGAGGTTGTGAAGGTGAATTGATTAAGATGACTGGGAAACATGCTGCACCATCCGAGCTATCGCCTTCCTCGACGGGCAATGTTAACTGACATAGGATGGATCAGGTTGGAAAAAAAATAGTTGTGGTCAAACCAAGATATGGCATGAGTCAATGAAATCCACAACAGTTAGTTCAAGCCACGTCGGGAGTTATAGATTTCCTGGTTCGGGTCATCGGATTGGTAAGAACCAATGGTTGGAGACAATCAGCGATAGAGTTCAAAATTGTTCTCAATGGGCTAGTGCAGATGCATCCGCTCTTTGTGACTTATGATATGTAATAATACCCTATTGTTCTTCCGAATAACTATGCTTTTGTCGCACACTTCTGTTTAATATCTGTCGTTTGAATCGCTCTTTACCCTCTTCTCTTGCTTTGTGTGTTATATGGAGTGTGGCAACTCGAACTGCTGCACATCTGTGCAGTCAGTCAGTTTTCTGCAGGTGTTTAATAATCGCCATGAAGATGCGTTAAAATAGAGCGTCACTGTTAATTTGATTTCACAGCTAATTATGAAAGAATGTATAAACAATATGTTGCAGTACATTTGAGAAAAGTTCGGTCAAACTATCGCTTCCGCCATATAGTTATAATATCGCGTATGAGCTCGATAAATCCACTCAAGTTTCAAGCAGGGAGGACAATGCATTGTTCATGTTGTCATCCTTCGAATGAATCTGAAACGTGTCGAACAACTACCATATTTCTTGACTCAAAGGTTTCATCCGACACCATCAACCGGAAGTTGCTGCGGCAATGTGTGACAGTGAAGGAAGGGCTGAAAAAGTATACCCCACTAATAAAGCCTCTCTACTCGAACTCAGGCAGCCCCGTATGGTCTGATGGAGAGCTATAATCAGAAGTGATGACAACCAGTGGCGTCCGATAGAGATATCCAATATCTCCATTTTTGTAACCCTATGGTAGATGCACTAACGCATATGATGCTAGTCAGGTTTAATGGTGCAAGGATTCACAGAAAGCAGATGTTATATTCCTTCTAGAGGTGAAGACATCGGCAAAAGTCAAAATCCCTTGAACTCACTGAACAGAAATATTGGCATGTTTTTGATGCTATTAATCCCTGTCAAATGTGTGATGATGCTGCAAGATTGGTCTGCACCGATTCCTAGTTTGAAAAAAGGGAGTGAAGTGAACGGATTTCATTTATTCGGGAAGTTACATCAGCCATAGTGGACTGATTGCAGACGGAATCCCAGTACGAATACGAAAGGCCCGTCCGGTAATTTGTCAACTCACGTTATCTCTGACTTAGACGTGGTATTCGGTTGTCGATCAAAGGCCGTTTGCACCGTTCATCAGTTTATTTTAGTTTTACATCATGATAAGTTGTCTTCTAATTCCACCGTGAAGTTTTATAGTATTCAACCCAACTGACTTCAGGGACTCTGAATTACTTACATAGTCACCTGTTTTTATTTTTATGCTCAGTGTTCATTGTGTTTCTTTTAGTAAATCGAAGGATTATTCAGCATCTGATTCCCCTAAAGTATGGGAGAAACCTATCATATTACCAAAGCAATCGAATCCATCCGGTCAACTGATGACCTTACCTTGCATAATTTATCAGTATGCGTGTAACCCTGGGTGGAACGACTTGTCGAAAGGGCCCCCGGATCACATTCTTTTACGTCATTTTCTTATGCTGCGTCGAGAACTAATGCTTAGTGAAGATAATACTCTAAAAGAAGAAGTTATCGACAGTTCATCTAAGGCTGTGGCTCAAACTTCTGATATTGAAGAAGACATAGAAGGTTAGTTTGTAGTAGTTAATGCATTTATTTGTGACTTGTTTACTTTCTAAGTTTTGAAAAATAAGTTTATCACTACTTTTCATACGGTTATTATCTTCAATTAGGTTAAAAATTTACGCATTCGTTAAGCTACTCCGATTTATTCAGATATTTATTGGTTTTTGGTCATAGACGTCACCTTATCTCAGTGGATCATGAAGTTCTGTTTGGCATTTATTATTTTAGCCACAGACTACTTTATTTTAAAATTAAGGAATGTAGCTAACTAGTATGACTTTGGTATGATTAAAATCTCTGTACTGGGAGTGAGAGTGAAAATCGCTAAGTAATCAGATTGTTGTACTTCGTAGCTATTCGTCTTAAATCTAACAGTCGACCACCTGGTAGAAGTTTGTCAAAATAATTCTTTCACTACATGGTATATATAATGTAAATTATTTTTGATTTGCAGATGAATACCAAACAAAAGTAAAGGGCGAAGAACGTTCATCGGCTTTATGTGATTCGTTGACTACCTCCAAACATCCCACGTCTACATCTGAACACTGCATTTCTCCACCAAAGCGTTATCCCAGTAGCTCGAATGACCAAAAACATCGAATTTCAAACAGAACTCAGATTGCTAATGTACCAAGGAAACGAAAAATTGTGAAACGACAATCTTCACCATCGTCTTTGTCATCGCTTTCAGCATCTTCTAACGAGGTGATGGGAGAAGTTGAAATGAAGAAAAGTAGTATTAAATCTAAGGCAAAACACTCTCTTGACTCACGACTCCAGAATTTACCTTCGAAGGCTGTCGCAAAGCATACAGACATATCACGTCGTTCTAACTACTCTACAGATTCTGAATCGGTTGATATGGAAAGCAGAAAAAGCTCTCAAAGAACTGACTGTGTTCGGAGTCATCAGTCTCGATTGCAATCAAGTCCGGATTCATCGGTTAGTATTCACTGTTTTAGATATCCGAGAAGTGTATATTTTCATTGGTTACTTACTGTGCTCGAAAAATTAAAGCCTAATTTCTGTCCTACGTGGTATTCATTTTTAAATTTACTTATTCCATTAAGGTTTACTGTAACCAATTGCAATGCTACACTATTGCGCAACATCTTTTTCCTGACCAACTTATTGGAATCCCCATCATTGCAATCGAAGTCTTGTAATGATTCAGATGCGTATGAACAGAATTTGCCTAACCTGTCTATCCCACTGGTTGTTAGTGTGTCTGTGCTATGCTTTCTCACAGAGGACTGCAAGTACTGACACGCAAGTTCACACAGATATTGGAAAATTGACTAATTTATTAACAAATATGCATACTATGTATCTTTTTTTATTGCGTTATTTATATACAAAAATATAGATAGAGAAATGTAAACACAATTTGTGTAAAGATGTATAGTCAGTAAAGAGTAGTACAGAGATCTGATAGTGCATCTCTGGTCATTAGAAAATGTTAGAATTTAGTATAGAGATATTTATTTTAACACCATATTTATTAACTCATCAATATGTCCCCCTTTGTTTGCATCAGTGATAAGTAGTCAGTTTAGAGTGTATTATCTAGTGAAGTGATTGTAATTTACTGCGCATTATGAGCAATCAAATGAACTCTGTGTTTAACGTTAAAATGTTGTATTAATATGGAGGTGGTTTGAACTACTGTAATCAAAACGGTAAATCAATCCATAGAGTATAGCGGTAAATGGTTAATTTACGTCTGAATTAATTTATATTGCCACTTCAATATTTATGGTACGATTTTGAGCTTGAGTACAGTGGCTCGTTCAGGGCTTATTGTTCCTTTCCGAAATCATGAATCTACTGTTGTTCAACATCCATTTTCACAAACTTTTTTATCTTGTCCTTATTTGTTCTCTTTCCGTTAATTTTATTACGTATGTTGTTCGCAAACTGTAATTATAAAATGTCTTGTTGTGATTCCGACAGTACTCACAATTTTTCCTGGACGTATAATTGTTGAATCTTTGTTCATTCTCCGACATTCTTTGGCTTTTAATTATAGCTTTCTCGTGACACCATCGATAGATGCTTCTGTCTTTCATCACTGACATGATATGAAATATGAATAAGTTGACTGACGGCAAGCTTCGTCTCTGTTAGTGTTTGTTTATTATTATTATTTTATTTAAAATTGGTAAATCGGGTGTACTTTTTACGTCTTCTAGAATAAAACCAGTTTCCCAGGTCAACGTGTTCACTCACGTTTTGAATCATTGGATTCTGATGCAAATTCAGATAATACTTCCTTGGACAGCTCTCTAATAAAGAACAAGAAAAATAAAGATTTAAATGCTAAAGTTAGGCAAACTAGCTCTCAAAATCTCATCACTTCATCGAAAAAGCAATCTATATCTCAGGGGCATTCTCAAAATCCTGTAAAAACGAAGAATCTTGAATGCCGGGAAATGGAAGTCACTAGCCAATCTAAATCAGTTTCTCATCAAAGTTATCGTCATGCAGCAAGTTCAAAACAGTCCACTTGTCCAACTCGTACTCTTGCTCCACTACCATCTGCTATGATGAACAGCACAAGTGTATCACGACCAGGGAAACATTCCTTTATAAACAAACCAGCCAAACATAATCCTAAACAATCTGAATTCGTCAGTAAACATGACTCCAATAACACCTCTCAACATCATCCAGTCGATAGTGCTAATCACTGTGCTCTGCAAGAGAAAAGCTCGAAAAATAAATTCCCATCTCACAAAATTACCCATTCGACGGGAAATCGAACTCACAAACAACCATCAGATGAGCAACGAATAGTGAATAAAAAAATGGCTGAATGTTTGAGTTATAAAACGCGCCAAGCTGATGCATCTGTTAAACTTACTTCTAATAAAAAAATTCGAAAGGTGGGCATTTTTGACATTTTTTTGGTTTTATTTATGTATATATGCATTAATTATGTATATGTATTAATTTCGACTCATTGATACAGTCTTGCATTTTATTTGATTAGGTTATTCAAAACTGCGGCGGTTCTTAATGTAAATTATTTGTTTCTATTCTACACTGATTCATGTTAGTACGTACCCAATTTGCTGCGAAAATTCTTTCCAGCAGTTGAATACTACCACTGTATCATTTCTTGTATATAGTTATATTCGTCATACCTATTTTCGATGCTCAGTTAATGTAGGTTCTCTTGTCAGCAATTTTACCGAATTCAGTGATACTAACCCTGTCAGCATGTTTTTGGAAATTTCATTCTGAGTTGTGTGTTTTCTTTGACGAACCAAACTCTGCCCATCCTGTGTTTTGGGTATTGTTATACACATTTCATACGCCATGCTGTTTATTGTCTTCAGCTGTCCAATACCCTTTGGGACGTCTGGTTACTCAATAATTCTGTATATTTTCTTTTCTGAGATATTTCTCTTCTACTGAAATCTCTTTTGTTGTACCTGGACATCTAGGTTTGTTTTGATTCGGTTATACACCGAAAGTATGATGGCTTAAAGAGTGCGTTTCTGTCTGTGAAAATTCTGTTTGTTGAATAGTCTCGGAACAACAACAAGAGTGGGTACTGATGTAACACGTAAATCCGTATTAAGTTTCAGAATTTATCCACTGTAGTACACAATTATACACCAATAATTGCTAATGTCTTTTTGAGTTTAATTTGTTTTATCTAAAATAGCATTCAGTGCATATTAAAATATTCTATTATTCCTTACTCGTTCACCTAAGGAGGCATGTTTCGTCTTGATTATGTAAAGTATTCCTTTCACTAAAGGGGAATTTAACGAATGTTAGTTTTATTTTAGCATAATAAACACTATTCCAGCAATTATTTCGAAAGGATTCGAGATTTTCTAGTGGACTGTCGAACTTGACTAGATCTTAACTGAAGATGGTAAAATATTTCGAAAGGATTGGTTACTAAAATATCTTTTCAGTTATTATCGAACGTGGTGTGTAGCTAGATTAGTTTTAATAATAAAAATCTTTGTAATTGTCGCTGATTTTAAGCACGAAGCTGTATTTTACTTTAAATAATCATGTGTACTTCCTATAGTCCCAGTCAAATTATTCACACATTGATAGAAACTACGCTATCAAAATAAGTACTTGTTGTCACATTTCCCATTACTGTCGCGACTAGAAAAGTTCTCAACATGGATTTGAACTATTTGATTTAACTGGTCAACAAAAGAATAACAATATTTGGCATAGTTGAGCTGTGGTTTACAGGTAACAACTGGATAATTTCTTCAACTTCCTTACTGCATAACTTGGATTAGCTGTCCAGTTCACATTATTAACGTTCGTCGACTATGTGGTAGTAATTTATATTTCCTAGTTTAAAATTACCGTCTGACTTTAGAATAAATATTCATAGTGTTTTTTAAGCCTCTAATATTATATTGTTACCTAATCTTATCGTTTTGTATATATTATTATTTCCTGGTAGTAAAATGTGTTAATTTTTGATTTTTTGCATTTTGCTTTGTGTTATAATGTAAAGGCTAAAACATTATCCGATTCTGATAAAAGTGATGAACAACTGTCTGAAACTAGCGTATCCTCTGTTTCATCGACATCTACATCTCTATCATCATCGTCATCGTCATCATCAACAACAACATCCGAGGATAGTCTTTCCACTTCATCCTCGTCTTCCCCTTCATCATCATCATCGTCATCCTCAATTCCTCAACCTCAGTTGAAACAGAAGAAAAAGAAACTCAGTTGACAGCTATATTTCATTTTAATGTTTACGTTGTTATTTATTACACCCGCTAAGGCTAGTTTCATTGTTATGCTTTTTTTTTAATGAAAAACAACACTATGCTTCTGTACTTCTTGAAGTAGTTACTTCCTTTCTAATCTATTATTCTTCACTACTTGTTCATACTTATACTGCCAGGTCGTTTAACAAACCTAATATTTTTTTCCTTTAAAAAGTCACTCAACACGCCACCATGCTCAAATGCATTCCGTTTTAAAGCGTTCAAGCGCCTTAGCTTAACTGGATCCCTTGAACAAAATGGATTTATATCCTCTTGGCGAGTAATCATTGATTCAGATTGAAATTTACATACAGCTAATATCATGTGAGAATCTCTACTTTTCTTTGTATAAATTTTGTGATTGTTCTTATTGTATAGTGTTGCTAATATGCAGCTTTTATTTATAGCTTACTGCTTTTTATAACCATTTGTATCTATCCACAATCTGTTTCTGAGTAACTTGAGTTTTTTTTTAAATTTCCAACTGTATGTAATTTTATATAATATGTTATGATGTTATATGCAACCGCTTTTATTATTTCTATCAGTAATTTTTATCGTGAATACTCTCTCTGCTACACTTACGGACTGTTAATCATTGTCTGTAATCTCACTGACTCTATCAATCACTTTTATGCCTATATTTCCTGTAGATCTGTTTGTCCGTTCTTCCGTTTATCTCTTCAATAAGTGGTTTATATCTCTTTTTATCATTCATTTATTTCATGGTACAAATTGGATTTTTCACCTTGTTTTATTTCCACTTTTAATACCACTACTACTGCTTATCCTCCTACTCCTACTCCTACTACATTTTTACACTTGATTTATTTGAACCTGAATTGTTTGTTTCGAAGATTTTAAATCTATGAACGAATAGTTTTAGTAATGCGATTAATGACAACAATGACTCATCAAGTCAATCATTTTTTTAATATTTTTTTTGTTTTTTGTTTTCATTTGTTTTATTTTGTTCATTTTTTTCTGGTTTATTTATTTATTTATTTTTCAGCTGATCATCATTTATGTAGACATTTGTTGTCATCGTTGTCCGCTGTTGTGTTTTATTAGTACATTTTAAGCCTTCCACCTAGCTAATAATATTGACGATAATCACAAAATAGTTAGTTGTAGTAGTTATATATATGGTAAAAAGATTGTCTACTTCAGATTACTATTATTGTTATTATCATTATCACTATTATTGTTAATATGTTGATAATTTCAGTTTAATTCTTTATGAAGCTGGTTCTTACTTACTTATTCTCAATTTGTACAACAATACATGCAATAGCATACCAGAAACGCAAATCATAAAATAAATTGTGGTTTTATGAGTTATTGTTAATAACTGTTCACTTTTTCCTTTTTACAACAACAAAATGGGTGGTCTGTGCCGTAGGAAGTATAAGAATATATACTGTATTTCTGTTAGAAGTTAAAGTGTTAGTTTGTTGTTTTCATTGCGATGGCTACTGTTCAGATTGTAATAACTTACTAATCCACTTTCTTACTGCCTCCTATTCTCCCCGACATTAAACTAGCTGGCACAACATTATGATTCTGAGTGAGAGCGTGTTACCCGGCTTAAGATGTCGTTTTTTTCTGACAAAAAACTTTCAAAAAGTATGAATTTATTGGCGAGGATAATTCAGAAGCCAAGACAAGTCTGTAGAATTTCAAAACAACACACTGCTGAATTTCAACTGTGACTGAATTAGTGACCATAGAGTGGAACAGGTGTCTATCGACTGCCTCGTAGTTTTACAGGTATTCGTTACTGTAGTTTTAATCTGTAACGAAACAGTTCTTAATATATTATCGTTCTCCAGTTGATATCTAACAGCAAATATCCTATAAGAAATATGACTCATCCATCATTAAAACAGAATACAGTTAAAATCTTTCTGCAAGAAGTAATCAAGCTGTTTTGTTTTTCACTTCTTAATATCATAAACAGAAGTTCATATTTTTCAAATAAAAGTTATCATTGCAGTTTCAAAACAATTTAAAACACATAATGCTTCTCTAAGACAGCAAATAATAAAAGAATGCAATATCATTGGGCTGTTAGCCACGAAATTAGGCGTTTCCTTCTAGCATATCACATGACTGAAGTCAGCGATTCTCAATATCTAAGATGAATTTTAATACACATATTGAGAGCAAGACCATACAGGAAATCGATTTCTACTTAAGCCAGTGCTTTAATGTATCTATATCGATGGTCATTTTGTCATTCGAAAGTTCTTGAGATTAAAAACCTTAATTTCAAGCAACATTTTGACCAATTTTGTCGTCGTCTAGCATATATATTTATATATATCGCTAGTGTTATTAGAAGACGGAGAATATCTGAAAAGTATGCTTTCTTGCAAAAAACATTCTGAACAATCTCATTACCCGTTTACTCCCCACATCATATAATACGTAAAAAATAGTCGAATTAAGAAAGACAATACCATCAGCGATTCAACAATAGGAAAGATAAGAATCAGAACTACTTTCCTTATACTTATTCTCAAAAAATCACTTCAATATATATTTATTTTAACTGAGGTTGTACCCTTCATATAAATTTACTTCACAAGTAAATGTGTAATCAAGTTGCACCGAATCTGACAAGCGAATGAACCAAATTAGCCCTATAATATCCAATTTCTAAAAACCATACGCAAATTTGGTAGAAAGACTAATTCTTAAATATAGATTAATAGCAGAACGTCGAATTATATAACGGAAATTTTAATCAAAGAAGCTACCAACATTTGTGGTTCATTTGGAAAAGTATAGCTTAGCATAAATATTGCAGAGTGGAACTTAAGTCGCTCTCCTTTGCCAGCTTGTTGAGGTAGCCTTCTGCCAATTGGTGGGGAGCTTTCCTTCTTTCCGAACCATTTGCAGTAATGGTGTGAGCAAGTCAACGTCAGTCTCTGGGTCCGTTTTCAGTGCTCCGGGAAGGGGGAATTCCGTCTGGTCGTGCTGCCTTCCTGACCGGCTTTCAGTGCCTTGATCGCACTCAGGATTTCTGCTTTCGTTGGAGGAGTGGTGTCCACTGGCAAGCAGTTCCGTGTGTGCTGTTGGTGGTGGTGTTTTTGGGCGAGCTGTCGGTGGTGGCCGATTCAAGAGTCCTTTAAAGTGATCAGCCTATTGTTTGAATTGTTTCTCCTCCTTGGTGATCAGGTTCGCTTGAGCATCTTTTATTGGTTTCATCATCTGGGTTGATCTGTTCCCGGATCGGATAGAGACTTTGTTATCTGATATAGTGTCCTGATGTCTCCTTTGCTTTAGGACTGCCTGTTCTGCTTCAGTTGCCAGGCAGTGTGTTGTAGAATTGTCGTTTGTCTTTTCTAGCACTCTCCTTTTCTTCTTTACTCAGTGCAGTTCAATGTATTGAACTCAGCTTCTCCTTCTTCTGTTGTCCATCTTTGCATTGAGTCATCTTCCCTCTCACCGTCCTCCTCTCCTCTCCTTTCCTCGACTAGCTTGCAGGTAGGTGTCCGTAGAGAGCCATTCCTTGTCTTGTCTCCTCTTTCTTCCTAGTACAGTTGTACACGCTTCCTTGAATATCGCCTTCAGAGAGTTAGTTAGTTCCAATGTTCTTCCACTCAGGCTCTCTCAGTGATGCCACGTAGTGTCTCCGACGTTTCTCTGATCTGATGTGTAGTGAAGGTGTCCCTTGTGATTTTGTCCTTCAGTTTCTGAATGTTGAACTTGAATTGTGGTGGTCTGTCTCCAGTTGTTTTCGGAGTTTTCAGCTTCACCTTGTAGGTCGCTTGAACTGGATGATGGTGTGAGTGAGTGTACATCTGCTCCCATTCTCGACTTAGTATCCAACAAGGTAGCTGCGTCTGTACTTCCTTGAGGAATGTTGAGGTGAAGTCTATCTGGTTTGTGGTGTGTCGATCAGGTGAAATCGGTGTTGCTTTGTGTTTATCCTTGTGTTTGTACACGCTGCCTGTGGTTACCAGGTCATTGGAAGCGCAGAAGTCTGCGAATAGTGCTCCGTTCTCCGAGAGCCTCTCGACCGATGTTGAGTTCTCTTCCTGTATTATGTGCTCCCAGCCCTGCTGTCATTCATATCGCCCATGAGGATTTTGATGTCACCATTTGGGATGTTGTCGATTACTGTTTGTAGTTGTTTGTCTGTAAATATCCTGCTTCTTTTCTTGTTCCGCGTTGTTTGTAGCACTGTGTGTAGCATTGCGTGATAATTGTGACCTTCGTTCCTGCCTTTTGAGTTGAATCTTGCTTTCATGATCCTGCATGAGGAGATTGGTTCCCACTTGATTAAGACTTTGGCCGTCACTAGGGACATGGTTGTAGCCACTCACTGCCTCGATGTGTTCGTGGTTGTCTTTTGGGTGTGCATACAGGAGTAGATTCCTGACTCTGCAGTTGACAATCCACATGCACTCGCAGATACCCAGTGCTTATACGCCATATGTTCGCATCTCTTTGGCTACCTGGCCAGCCTTCCCAGGCAGACTCGTCCATTGTTCGTATATTTCACGTTCCGATTACCATTTTTGTTGTTATTGTCCGTCTCCAAAATCAAGAGCCAAATTTCTTCAAATATAGATTTATAGGAGAACGACGAATTGTAACGGAGATTTTACTCAAAGTGGCTACCAACTTTTGTGGTTTATTTGGAAAAGTATAGTTTAGCATATTTGTGTAAATAGCTGATTCGTAATGGATGATAAACACTCCAAGAATTGCTGTGAAAATAGAAATATATTCAGGGGATCATAGGAGGAAGGCCTATTTCAAGAGTTGAGTTCCAGGAAAAAAGCACATGGCCTAACCCTATTCAAATGATTTGTATTATATGCAATGCTCAGAAACAGACTAAGGCTGCAGCTCGTCCAAGCTAGAAAATATACGCTGCTTGAAAAATAGATAAAGAGCCCACCATTGGCACAACACGTTACTGCGATTGCCCTGAAGTATTTGTCTGTCTACGTTATTTGGTTCTCTGTGCCAACGATTTCATGTATTACGACCAATAAAATATATACACTGATCACCTCATTCCGCAAGTTTTCGAAACCTGATTATTCAGCTAACTAATTTATTCCCGATGAATAATTAAAAGCAAAACTACTTTTGATTTCCATGTTGAGGAGTTACTGCTTTCTAAGGCATTGGTGAATATCATTAGACTTCAAAAGATGACTTCAAAGGAGATTGGATGTGACTAGAAGGGCTTAGTGCAACATCGCATAACATTGTATTCTTTATTTTAATGTTGCAAGGATAACACATCTTGACAGATGAATGAAATTCCACCTTTTAATCGAAGAGTATGAACAGTATTATTTGACATTGCGAGTCATAGTAAATATTTGTTCAACCTATCTGCAGTCAGACCTGTGACAAAACCGCCTTTGTGCTTTCAGGGTGTGTTTATGCGTATTGGAGTTGTCACACAAATACTTTTACTTCGTCTGACTTATTTTAATATACTGTAAAGATGGCAGTTTTCAAGGGATTCACTCTCTTGTTTAATAAATCACTCAGTTAAACTAATAGGCTCAAGACAACTATAGGTATTTCTTGATATCTCTAAGACGTTAAAGTCTAGTGTCAATGAGAATGTGACAGAAAAGCAAAAGCTGGAAAATCAGTTTGCATTTATTTGCTTCAAGTCGTTATGCATTTACCGTTAGTTGATTATATTGGACCAAAATACTGGGTCTCTGTTGACATTTCGGCTCCTAATCTGGATTTTTCAACTAAGTCTAAAGACTAACAGTGACTTGCAATGGAATCCAGAATGCTAATTTCGTCCTATCATGAACTAGTCCGTCGGGTGTATCAGTATTGTCAGTGAGTGACGGCGTTTACCACCGAGACTTGAACCCAGCACTCATCAGTTCAAATGCCAAAGCGTCATTCCCTTTGCCACGACATCAGTTGTTATTTGTTTTAAGTTATTCTTGAAGCTTTTCTTTATGATCCAAATAGTTGTCAGATGGTAAGTAATGTATCAGTTTGGTGTACTGATCAAAGTCTGCCCGTAAGATGTGGAATCACAAAACCCGGCTTTAAAAGTAAACTATCCCATAACTATCCTTGACTGAGATTTTCGGAAACAAACTTAGAAAAAGTCGAAATTCTCATCATGTTGTGAAAATAAGCCAAATTTTATGTATCTTAGATGGGTTTCTGTAATGAAAGCATAATTCAGCGCACACTGGTGAAATACACAGTACCCTACCTTTTTAAGAGAATAAATACATTTATTTAAACATTTTCATAATACAAATTTCCGTGCTTCTCTAGTATAATATTCTGACACTTACCTTAATTTTACGTTACCATTTATCAAAAAGAAGCCAGTAATCACCGAAAATGGTATACAGCCAGGAAAACTGAAAATTCTCAGAGAAGTTATAGTTCAGTATTTTGTGAAGAATTTAGGAAGTTGTTCTTCTAATAAGTAAGTAAGAATGGTGACATTGCTCACCCTCCATCACTGCTTTTTAGACTCATGTAAACTCAGCCAAAGTTAGAGGATTGATTTATATATCCGACTTAGTCTGAGGTTAGTTAGTGGCCAACTTCAGTGAAACTGAGTACTATTTGG